TGCTTTAATAATATCATATTAGAGCTGCTGAATACTTGTGAACCAAACCATATGGTCCACAAAGTCTAAAGTAGTTACTTTCTGGCTCTTTACACAAGAGCATGCTGACCCCTGCTTTAATCTGCTAAACCTTTAGCAGAAGGCTTGAGTTCAAGGCCAGTCTCTGCAACTTTGAAAGACCCTTGTCTATGACCTTTACATATGTCACTCCCTCTATATGCAACACGAATTCTCCAGATCTTCTTATGGCTAACTCTTTATCATCATTCTGGTTTCCTATCAGATTCACCTTAAAGAGTCTATCCTTGACTACACTAGAGTAAGTAAATTTCTCCCCTCCTGTCCTATTTTCTATCCCCTTGCATTGCTATATTTTTCTTAGAATTTGTCATTTCCTTCACTACAATGTAAGTTCTATGAGGGCAGTCCCAGAATTGTCATATACCAGCTATTTGAGCAATTCAAATGAATAAATGAGTCATGAAGAGCTACTACATATTTCTAGAAAATAAATGTTACTTATTAACTCATAAGTTGTTTTATTAGAGGAAGAATGCTTGAATAAAAGAACAATATGGCTGATTCCCATAATTTATATAAATCATATTTATGGGTCACTTTATGTGCATGTTATTCAACATATGAAGCTGAGGAATTACATAGGGCTAGAAAATAGGATGTTTGAAAGTCTTTAGGTTTGTTTTCTAAATCTGTATCCCTATCAAATGGACATTGTAGTCCATGCCTGTAATCCCAGTTACTTAGCAGGCTGAGGCATAATGATCACAAGTTCAAGGCCAGCCTCCACAACATTGAGAGACCCTGTCTCAAAATTAAAAATTAAAAGGGCTAGAGATTTAACTCAGTGGGAGAGTGCTCACTTAGCATGTGGGAGGCCTGGGTTTGATCCCCAGTACCATTAAAAAAAAAAAAAAAAAAAAAAAATCCTGAATCTGTATTCCTTCCTTATCCCCTCTTGGACCTAAACTAAAATCCAATGGGTAGATAATGATATAAGGTTATCTTTTTCATAGTATGTATTATATTCATGTCTCCTCATTGATTCTGAACCTCTCTTCTTGATGTCTCCTCTTGATTCTGAACCTCTGGATCTGTCTAATCAGTCAATTTGGACAAAATTTCACAATCAGTTTATTTGGCTATGTTAAAATGGTTTTGTCACCAGGAGCAGTGGCACACACCTGTAATCCCAGTGGCTCGGGAGGCCATGAGGCAGGAGGATCAAAGCCAGCCTCAGCAAAAAGCGAGGTGCTAAGCAACTCAGTGAGACCCTGTCTCTATATAAAATACAAAATAGGGCTGGGGATGTGGCTCAGTCGTCCAGTGCCCCTGAGTTCAATTTCTGGCTAACCACCCCCACACACACACACTCCAAGAAAAAATGGTTTTGTTGAAGTAAAATTGCTAGTAACAACACAAACAAACACTTTTAAACTTTATCCTTAATTTCCATCAAGTTTCTATCCTTGATTTCTATATTATTGGGAGATTCACAGGTATACAGATCATTTTAAATAAGCAACAATGAGAAGATACTTTAATAATAATAAAATTGGCATAATCAGGAAGTACAGAAATAACAGAGGTAGAATAGCTTATGATTTTTGAAATGAAAAAAAAGTAATTCCTGGTCTTAAATGTTGAATTCTAATTATTAAATTAAATAAATAGATTAAGCCTGGATCTGTACCAGGGAGACTTGGTGGGGAGCTGGATTGAGCAGAGAATACAGGGGCCTCGTTCTTGGTTGTTAAAGAAATGAACACATTAAAAAAAAAAGATCGGGCTGGGGTTGTGGCTCAGTGGTAGAGTGCTCGCCTAGCACGTGCAGGGGCCTGGGTTCAATGCTCAGCACCACATAAAAAATAAAATAAAATAAAAGATATTATGTCCAACCACATCTAAAAAATTATATATATATATGATCTTTTTTTAAAAAGATCACTTTTTGACTAATTTCTGTGTCCCATATCTTGTTTTTTGTGGTAATTCCTCTAATATCTTTTCAAAACCATCTTAAAATTGTTATATAAATACCCACCCCCCCCACACACACACACTAGGAATTGAACCCACAGGTGGTGCTCTATATATCAGTGAGGTACACCTGTAGCCCTTTTTATTTCTTATTTTGGAACAAGGTCTTACACCAAGCTACCCAGGCTGGCCTTGAACTTTTGATTCTCCTGCCTCAGCTTCCTGAGTAGCTGGATTACAAGTATGCACAGCCGGGGCTGGGGATGTGGCTCAATCGGTTTCGCGGTTGCCTGGCATGTGTGCGGCCCAGGTTCGATCCTCAGCACCACATACAAATAAAGATGTGTGTCTGCTGAAAACCAAAAAATGAATATTAAAATTCTCTCTCCCTCTCTCACACCTCTCTCTTAAAAAAAAAAAAAGTATGCACAGCCATACCAAGCTATAAATATATCCTCTTTTAAAATGTGTTGACTTTTTAATGTATCTTTTGGAAAATGTGAAAGAAGAACAAATGCTTCCCTTCTTCCAATTCTGCTTCCCTAAGAATGACCATTAAAATGTCCAGGAAGAAAACAATGTGAAAGTCTAAGATGCAAGTCATTCAAGATACCAGTGAATTCCCAGAGAAGCAGTTTATGTAAAATGTTTCCAAGTATGACCCTTCCTTATTGCATTTAGGAAACATGTAATTTAACCATCAGAGAACACCTAGCCTACTCCCAGTCCCAGCTCATTCTAAAGAAAAAATATATATATATGTTTTAGGTGGACACAATACCTTTATTTATTTCTATGTGTTGCCGAGGATCGAACCCAGTGCCTCACACATGTCAGGTGAGTGCTCTACTGCAGAGTCACAACGCCAGCCTCAAGACTGACATCTTACTTAATTGTCTTTGTGGATCTTTATAACAATATTTTGCAAGTAACATAACTCACACTCTAGAGTCAGCTCAATAAAAATAGTTATATATATATATATATATATATATATATATAATTTTTTTTTTTTAGGTGTATGTGGACACAACACAATGCCTTTATTTTTATGTGGTGCTGAGGATCGAACCCGGGTCCCGCCCTCGATAGGCGAGTGCTAAGAATAGTTATAATTGAGCAAATTCATTTCACTGTTACTCTTCATATCTATATTGCCATGGTTCAAGATTTCCTCAAAACCAGTTTTGTATAATTTTTAATGAGACCTGTTTGCAATTATAATGATGATACATATTTATGCACAAAACACCACAAATGGCAATGCTAATAAACTGTGAATTTTAAAAATGTAGAAATGTATAAAGTCTGTTGGTTATAATAGTCTTTTAACCACACTTAAGTATATCCTATGTGTTATCAAGACAAGAAAAGGAATGAGATGGACATCATTACCCTAGGTACATGTAGGATTGTACAAATGGTGTGACTCTACTTCATGTACAACCAGAGAAGTGAAAAATTGTGCTCTATTTGTGTACAATGAATCAAAGATCATATGCTGTCATGTATAACTGATTAGAAAAAATTTTAATTAATAATTTGTTCTAATTTGTGATAACAACAACATGAAGGGGAGGATGGAGTTAGGAGCAAAATCAATGTACATTACTGGAGCTCAGTTGGTATCACTTAAAACTTGATTGTTATAAATTTAGGATGTTAATTTTAATCCCTTTGATAAACTCTACCTAAGTAACTATTTATAAGTTTTGGTGGGTTTTCTTTGAACCTTTCAAACATCAAACATTTTGCAAATAGTGAAACTGGACTTAATGTGGATTTAATCTACACTCTCCATTGGATTTGCAGGTATGTAGCTCTTCTTTTCTTTTCTTTTTTTTTAATACTTATTTTTTTAGTTGTAGTTGGACACAATATCTTTATTTTATTTATGTGGTGCTGAGGATCGAACCCAGGGCCTTGCATATGCTAGGCGAGCGCGCTCTACCACTGAGCCCACAACCCAGCCCTGTAGCTCTTCTTTTCAATACTTTATTCTCTATTATCTCAATCTCTTCTCTGATGATTGATTTTTATCTTTCTTCATTAAAAAAATGTATGTCCAAATCTAGCATTAAATTACAATTCTCTCAGTGTGAAAATAAGATGAAGTTCACGGGCAAAATACAAACAGAGAACATCTCCAAAATTCTCATTAAGCTGCAAGTCATAAAAGTACACATTTTTCATAATTAAATTTAAGTGTTTTACAGAGTTTTCATCAAAAGACAGAAGACCAACATTTATTTTGACCATATAATGCAAGTAAGAATCTGAGATAGGACTGGGGATTTAGTTCAGTAGTAGAGTATTCACTAACAGGTGAAAGGCTGTTTGGTACTCAGCACCAAAAAAAAAAAAAAAAAGACAAAAACTACAAAGATAATACTTATTGTTCTATTTGGGGAAAAAGTTACTCCTCAAGTTTTTATCTTTAACAAATAAATGTGTAATGTGTATATTTTATACAATTTTGCAGTAAGGTACCATTTATATATACAAATATGACTGTTAGTGAATAACTAATACTTGAAAAAAAATTCATTTCTCTTAAAAATGAGAGATCCACTAAATAATATCACTAGTTATGGCTAATTTTGGAAATGTAGTCCTTAAATAAATCTTCTGAATTTATTTCACAACTTTAAAATTGGGAAAAGAATGTTTTATAGATACTATAAACAAAATATAGAATGTATTTCTCAAATTTTTGTACAAGGCAAATGCCATATAGAAGATATTGCCATCCATCATGACTATGTTCTTAACATAAAGAAGAAACTGAATACTACCATGATGAAAGATTAGAAGGGAAAACATGAATAGATTACCTCTCCAACACTAACTATTCAACTATTTTCAATATTGTTGTTAGCTATCCCTTAAAGTAAATAAAATCAAAGTGAAAAAAGAATTAAAAAGACAAGAAAAATCCAGGAAGATGATATTGTGATTATCAACATAACAATGACAAACTAATTTGATATCTTAATACTCACACTGTACGTGTTGCTCTCCATCTTTCTGTTCTACTAAGAACTGACTCTTCCTTCAATCCTCTTCAAGTAGAACTTCCTGTAAATTTTAATTAGCTTGTTATTTATTCACTCTATCTAATTAGGCTGCCTGAGAGAAGATATGACTTAGGAGTGGCTAAAGGACACTTCTACAAATACTTGTGGAAGGTAAAATCTCATACAACTTAGATCTTCGATTAAGTCAATTTTGAGATCCTCAACAAAGTTCTTTTCATCTGTTCAGTAGCGTGGGAAGGAAGAATTTTAATCAAGTTAGAGGTTCTAGGGAGAGAAAAGCTGCTGGCAAAAACAGCAGCTCTATATTTTGAATCACTGCTTGGTCAAAAACTAACACAGTTTTCCTATCGAAAAATGAACAAGAATTAGATGGTGACCTTGATGCCCAAAACTCCATGATTTTAGTGTGGTTTACTTTGCCATAGAAAGTTAAAAATATTTGAAACAAGCTGTCTCCTTAAGTTTTATTTTCGCTTAAACTGCTAGGGAGCTATGGTGGTGTTGGAAATCATGATTTTTTTCTTAACCAGTCATCAAGTCTGAGCCTGTTTTCTCTTCTACCCATTCTCTTGACTAGGATGGGTAATTTTGAAAATCAGTTGAGATGTGGTATGTTGAAGCACTAATACTGTTTCCTGAGTTTATTAGGAGGAGGAGAAGAATGAGGACAGACTATTCTTTTGGTTATTTCACATCATCCTTACTACCTTTTCTTTTCATATCTTCTGCTACCTTTCTCAGTTTCTAGAACCATCTCCCTTCTTTCTTCTGTCAGCTAGTTTTTGTCCTCAAGGTTATTCTTATTTGGGAAAACAAGCAAACAAAGCCAAAACAAAACAAAAACAAAAAACCCTCCCTACTCCTTTAATTAAAATAAACGCACTTTCCTTTAAAAGTGAGGTATTTACTTAATTTTTCCTAAAAATGAATTCAGATTAAGTCTTCTTGAAAGCCAGTGGAAATTCTACACTTAGTATATTTACTTAACTAAAAACTAATTTTGCCAAATAATAACTAAGGCAATTGGCCTTCCAACCCTTCTCTCACACTTCAGGAATAAAGCACTGAACGAATCCAGAGCTAGATGAATGAGTATTACACAATTTGCTAAGAAAATGTAAATTTTCCTTTGCTAAAACCTACAAAGGTAATTCTATCTACACAACGTTTAAGCTCCAGGTAGACAAGTTTCAAGGCCAAGCAACAGATCAGTCCCCCCATTTTCTCTGCTGGGACCATTCTTCTTCCAAAGGATCCTCACTTCCTTCAGGTCTGGGTGAAAGGACACTTCCTCAGAAAGGTCTTCTCTGAAAGGCATTTTCCCCTGCCCCACCTTATCTTAACATAAATCATCCCCCTATTCCACAGCTCTATTACGTTAAGTTTTTCTTAATAAGACTGATCACTGTCTGTATAGTATTATACACCTATGCATTTTCTTGTCTGTTGCCTGAATGTACGGTCCAGGAGGGCAGGGTGCTGGCCCACCCAGTTCACTGTGGGATTCCAGCGTTTTAAGCAGTGCTGGGACATAGTAGGTGCTCAGTAAATAAATATTCTCCCAATGCCAGGAAGCTACTTGCTAGTTTCAGCAGAACCGCAGGCCTCTTCCTCCCTTAACCTCCGCCTCTACACGACCGCAGACCGCGTTCCCCCACCTGCAGGTCCCAGGGAGAGCGCTGCGCACCAACCATCCCTACCGGCAACTGCGGTTAGATCTCCCGGCCACCCGAGCCTCCGCGCTGATCCCAGGCCTTGGCGACCGGGAGTGACAGCGCCGGCGCCGCTGCGCTTCCGCCCTCCACGCCGCGCAGCCGTTAGGACCCCCGCTCCGCCTCGCCAGACCCAGCATTCTATTTGGAGTGATCCGTTGATAGGATGGTAAAACGTGACTCCCGGCTCTTTCCGTCGGCAGGTCACCCACCCACCCGCCTCGGGGTAGGGATCCTGCCGTGTCGGCCCAGTCCTGCTTCTCACCTTCCACTTGTGCCAACTGACCAGCCACGGCCGCTCGAGGCCTGGGGTTCCTCCGGGCGCCCCCTCAGGCGGCTTCCTGCGGCGGAAGCGGGGAGCCCTTTACCGGGCAACACTTGTGGGCCCCACCCGCGCCACCTCCGCGGTTAAAAGCGTGTTACCATTTCTGCTTTAAGAGATACCCGTGCGCTCGTTGCCTCCATGCCCCTAGAGGTGCCCCCAGATATCCTCGCCGGCTGTCCCGGTCCCGGCTGGGGAGGCTGAGGGCAATTTCAGGCAGTTCAGGCTTTTCCCTTACTTCTTCTTTTTAAAAATAATCTATTTATTTTTGGTGTGGAGGTCTTAACCTAGGATCACTTCACCACTGAATGAACTGCATCCCCAAACCCTTTGGTTTTCTGAGACTGGATCTTGTCAAGTTGTGCAGGCTGGCCGTGAACCTGCTGTCCTCCCGCTTCCGCATGGGCCACGGTGCCTGGCAGCTGTTCTAATTAAAAGTCAACTGTCCTTTCACCTCCTGTAAAGGACTGGAGTTTGGGGGTTAGAGGTAATAAAGGTCACTCCCTGCTGACTCCAACAGCCCCCCCCCCCAATATATAGGACGCAAAGGTCATTTAGAGATTGTCCTCCTCCAGACAAAAATGTTGGACCTAATTTAGAATCACTTGAGTCTCACCATGAAAATATGGTAATGAAAGTGTTGAGTTGACAGGTTGAGTTTTTAAAAAGGTCTGCACTGCACTTCTCAAAAGAGGATTTCCTAGTGGACATTAAACACCTGCAAGGTGTGTAACTGAATGAGTCAGGGAACTTCTAATTAAAACCACATCGGAGAAATGTCTATTTAGGTCCTTGGCCCATTTATTGATTTTTTTTTTCCTTTTGGTGCTTAGCTTTTTGAATTCTTTATATACCTAGAGATCTGATGTGTGAGGGGTAAAGATTTCCTCCCAAGAAGTAGGCTCTTTAGTCACCTCACAGATTGTTTCTTTTGCTGAGAAGAAACTTTTTAGTTTAGGTCTATCCCATTTATTGATTCTTCATTTTAATTCTTGTGCCAAAGGAGTCTTATTAAGAAAGTTGGGGCCTTAGCCCACATGATGGAGATTAGGGCCTACTTTTTCTTCTATTGGGCAGGGTCACTGGTTTTATTTTTAGGTTCTTGATCCATTTGCAGTTGAGTTTTGTGATGGTGAGAGATTGGGGTTTAATCTCATTTTGTTGCATATGGATTTCCAGTTTCCCAACACCATTTGTTAAAGAGGCTATTTTTTCTCCAATGCATGTTTTTGGTGCCTTTGTCTAATATAAGATAATTATAATTTTGTGAGTTAGTCTCTGTGTCCTCTATTCTGTATCATTGGTCTACCAATCTGATTGGTGCCAATACCATGCTGTTTTTGTTACTATTGCTCTGTAGCATAGTTTAAGTAAGGTCTGGTATAGTGATGCCACCTGCTTTACTCTTCCTGCTAAGGATTGCTTTAGCTATTCTGGGTCTTTTATTTTTCCAGATAAATTTCATGACTGCTTTTTCTATTTCTGAGATGAATGTCATTGGGATTTTGATCAAATTGCATTAAATCTGTATAGTTCTTTTGGTAGTATGGTCATTTTGATAATATTAATTCTGCCTATCCAAGATCAAGGTAGATCTTTCCATCTTCTAAGGTCTTCTTTGATTTCTTTCTTTAGGGTTCTGTAATTTTCATTATACAGATCTTATTTTTTTAATTCTAATTTTTTAAAGAGAATTTTAATAGTTTTTAGTTTTTTTCGGCAGACACAACATCTTTGTATGTGGTACCGAGGACTGAACCCGGGCCACACGCATGCCAGGCAAACGTGCTACCGCTTGAGCCACATCCCCAGCCCCATTATACAGATCTTTCACCTGAAGAGCCACTTCTCAGAAGATGATATACAATCAATCACAAATATATGAAAAAATGTTCATCATCTGTAACAATTAGAGAAATGCAAATCAAAACTACTCTAAGATTTCATCTCACTCCAGTCAAAATGGCAGCTATTATGAATACAAACAACAATAAGTGTTGGCGAGGATGTGGGGGAAAAGCCACACTCATACACTGCTGGTGGGACTGCAAATTGGTGCAGCCAATATGAAAAGCAGTATGGAGATTTCTTGGAAAATTGGGAATGGAACCACCATTTGACCCAGCTATCCCTCTCCTTGCTCTCTACCCAAAGGTCTTAAAAACAGCATACTACAGGGACGCAGCCACATCAATGTTTATAGCAGTACAATTCACAATAGCTAAAATGTGGAACCAACCTAGATGTCCTTCAATAGATGAATGGATAAAAAAAATGTGGTATATATACACAATGCAATATTACTCATCAATAATAGAGAATAAAATCATGGCATTTGCAGGTAAATGGACAGAGTTAGAGAAGATAATGCTAAGTGAAGTTAGTTAATCCCCCAAAAAACAAATGCTGAGTGTTTTCTCTGATATAAGGAGGGGGAGCATGGGAGGAATAGAGGAATTCTAGATAGGGCCAAGGGTGGGAGGGAAAGGGAGGGGGCATGGGGTTAGGAATGATGGTGGAATGTGATGGACATTATTTTCTAAAGTATATGTATGAAGACGCAGATTGGTGTGAATATACTTTGTATAAACCAGAGATATGAAAAATTGTGCTCTATATGTGTAACAAGAATTGTAATGTATTCCGCTGTCATATTAAACACACACACACACACACACACACTCACACACACACACACATTGGAGACCAGTACAGATCCACCAGAATAGCTAAAACAAAGGCTAGAGGCAGGGAGGGAAAAGAAAGAAAAATGACCAATGAGGGAATGTGAGGCATCCAGAATTTTTACACCTCGTTAACAGGGATATAAAGCAATAACTGTTACAACCACTTTGGAAAATTGGTAATATTTATTGAGGCAAAACGTATACCTACCCTATTACCGAATAATTTAACAGAAATGTATGCCTATGTTCACCACAAAATAGGTACAAGAATGTTCACCTCAGCAGCATTTGCCTAGCTCCAAATTAAAAATAATCTAAATGTCCATTGATAGGAGAATGGATAAATACATTATGGTATATTCACATAATGAAATATGTTATATAGCAGGAGACAGCATGTACTAAAGGCGTGTGCAACTATATGGCTAAATCTCACAAACATAAATATGTCTTCACAAACAGAAAACATATTTAATTTATGTTAGGGTCAAAAATGGGTAAAACTAATCTATGCTATCCTAAATATAGATTATGGTTACCTGCTGTGGTTTGAATAGTTTGTCCATTCTGAAATTCTTGTTGGAATTTAATCCCTGTTATAAGGTGGGACCAAGTGGGACTTTTTTTTTTTCCAAGTGGGACTTTTGAGGGATAATTAGGGCTCTGCCCTCATTAATGGATTAATCCATTGATGTGATTATTGGGTTAATGGGTCATGAGTTATCTGAAAGTGGGTCTACTATCAAAGTCAATTTGTTTAGGTCTCTTACACTCTCCCTGTCTGTTTCCATGTGTTGCTTCAGAACTCTGCCAGCAAGAGGCTATAACCAGATGTGACATCTTGACCTTTCATCAGAATCATGAACCAAAATAAACCTCTTTTCTTTGTAACTTACTCAGTTTGTGGCGTCATGTTATCAGCAACAGAAAACAGACTAAGACCCAAGAGGGGCTGTGACTGTGAAGGGACACAAGGGCTTCTGGGATGTGTTCTGTGACTTGGTTTAGATGCTACTCACTTTATAAAAACTATTATCCAGGACTGAGTATATAGCTCAGTTGGTAGTGCTTGCCCCTCATGCACAAGGTCCTAGGTTCAATCCCCAGCACCACAAACAAAGAAAAAAACTATCATCTAACTTAACATTTTTCTCCATGTGTGCTACTTTTAAAAGATTTTTAATTAAAAAAATTGAACAAATTATATTGTTATATCATGTGCATGTATGAATATGTAACAATGAATCCCATTATTATGTATAATTAAAATGCACCAATTGAAAAAAGGTAGAGAAAGTCTTAGTGGGCCATGGTGACATACACCTGTAATCCTAAAGACTGCAGAAGCAGGGGCAGGAGTATCACAAGTTTGAAACCAGCCTCAGTAACTTAGAGACAACCTGTCTCAAAAAAATTTTAATATTATAAAGGTTAGGGATGGGCAGGGATTGTGGCTCAGTGGCAGAGTGCTTGCCTTTCGCATATGAGGCACTGAGTTTGATCCTCAGCACTACATAAAAATAAATAAAATAAAGGTATAAAGGTATTGTGTCCATCTACAATTAAAAATTTAAAAAAGAGAAAGGACAAAATAGTATTTTTCTTGATGTTAAATTTATTCAATTCTTAAATTCTGAGTCTTTTATCTTTTTTGGTATTAAGATGTTAATTCTGGTCTGAGGTTATGGCTCAGCTAGCATGTGCGAGGCCCTGGGTTTGATCCTTAGCACCACATAAAAATAAATGCATTGTGCTTATCCATCTACACACACACACACACACACAAAAGTTAATTCTTTTATGATATAATGGTCATAATATAGATATACATATGTGAAATATATAATTATACATGTATATGTGTGTGTGTGTGTGTATTTATTTTTGCAGTGCTCGGAATTGAACCTGGGGCCTTGTGCATTAAAATAATGGTCATGGACAACTGCAGTTGGTCATGTCTTTGCCTGACAATATAATAAGTTTTATGCTCCTTCTTATTTCACAACTGGCTTACTGGCTTATAAAATTAAAAAAGTCTGGATAGCTTCATCCTTTTTTTTTTTTTGCAATGCTAGTGATTGAACTCAGGCATGAAGCATGCCACAAACATTCTACCATTGGGCTATATCCCCAGCCCTTTTGTCTCATTCTTGTGCTGCTTCTGGCTCAAAACTTTGCTACCAAGAAAAAAATTTAAATGTGCATCCACATGTACTTGTGGATATGGTTGATCCACATTCTATCTTTTTGTTGTTGTTGTTGTTATTAGAGATTGAACCCAGGGTGCTCTACCATTGAGCTATATTCTCAGATCTTTTTAGTTTTTAGTTTTTTTTTTTTTTTTGAGACAGGATCTCTCTAAGTTGCTGAGGCCAGCTTTAAACTTGTGATTCTCCTGCCTTAGCCTCCCTAATAGCTGGGATTACAGATATAGCCCCACTGTAAAGCAGGCACATACTTAACTCTATCTAGATTATCTATTCTTGTCTATTGCCCAAGAATTCTTCTCAAGTCACCAATCTCTTTTCTGTACTGCAGAGGATAGAAAATTAAAAACTGTATTTCACAGATTTTCTTGCAGCTAGGATTCTAGCTATAAATTATGGATCTATCAATAATTTGCACACTGGAGAAACTTGATAAATGAAAGTCAGGCACAGGGCATATTCTGGCTGCACTAGCTGCTCCTGCTGGCCAGCTTTTCTTTTCTTTTCTTTTTTCTTTTTTTTTTGTACTGGGTATTAAATTCAGGGGCACTCAGCATTTTTTTTTTTTTTTTTTGATACAGGGCCTTGCTAATATGCTGAGGCTGGTTTAGAACTTGGGATCCTCCTGCCTCAGCCTCCTGAGCTGCTGGGGATTACAGGCATATACCACCACCACTGGCTTGTTGTTTTTTCTGTAGCAGTGTTGCAATGCTTAATTACTGGATTCATGGTTAATGAAGACTGCTGAGGCAGCATTAGCAGTAGGTCGTTGATTCCTGTATCACAGGCATGGTGATGTGCTCTTCAATTCAAAGCATAGTGTAACTATGTTTTGACTATGCATAAGAATGAATTCCTAGATCACAGGCAGGGTGATGTGCTTTTCAATCTATGCATAAGACTATAATGTAGTTATGCATAGTCTAACCAAATAGTCTTCATTTCTCTCCTTTCTGAAGCTCCCCTCATGGGCTTAGAGCAATTTCTGGAATATAACAGAGACCCTGTCCCTCCAATACTTTCAAAGTTTTTTTAAGTACTTACATCCCTATATTAAAGCCTTTTCTATTTGAGGGGGTTTCTGTTTAGTGCAACCCACCCTGACAAATCATACCTGACTGAGCCATAATAAGTACATTGTCCCTTCTATGCCTCAATAAGTTCCTCTTATACTCTCATGTCCCTTTTTTTCCTTTTTCCACAAATGCCAAATGAAGTGTAACATGTTGCTTTCATCCTTGATCTTTTGAGGTTTTATAGCTGCTTCTTGGGTCTCCATAGATGAAAGAAACTCAATTACCATTATTTCAAAAGAGCAGGCAGCCAAGCTCCAATTAAGGATTTTTCTAGAACCCAAGGTTCTATTTTACTCAATATCTCTTGTTGTTACCAGTCAAGATACCACTTTTGGGCTGGGCATGTAGCTCAGTGGTGAAGTACTTGCCTAGCAAGTGCAAAGTACCAGGTTTATTCCATCCTCAGTAAATGTACACACGCATGCATGCAAACATACACACAAACTTACACACACACACATACACACAACCTTTATATTTGTTTAAGGGCTTGGATCTGTGACTGTGAACAATAATTTTTTGGGGGGTGTATCAGGGATTAAACTCAGGGGCACTCAACCACTGAGCCACATCCCCAGTACTATTTTGTATTTTATTTAGAAACAGGGTCTCACTGAGTTGCTTAGAGCCTCGCCATTGCCAAGCTGAACTCCAGATCCTCCTGTTTCTGTCTCCTGAGCCACTAGGATTACAGGTGTGTGCCATGCACCCGGTAATAATTTTCTTTTTCCTTTCTTAGACTTGGTGCTGGGTTCTACATTATCAACTCCCATGCCCCTTCCATCATCCCTGACAATTTGTTTTGTCTTACAGAGTATAACTAAAAGAAAAGAGTGCTATAAATGTATTAATTATTAACTTAAAAATAATTTTTTTGTGGAGCCTGGGGTTGTGGCTTAGTGGCAGAGCACTTGCCTCACACATGTGAAACACTGGATTTGATCCTCACCACCACATAAAAATAAATAAATAAAATAAAGGCATTGTGTCTATTATTAAAACATATTTTAAAAAAATAATTATTGTTTTTGCGTGACTTATTTAGCATTACTAGGAAGGAACTGTGGTTTTCTTTCAAACACTTTAAAAAAATTTATGGAGACCTGGAAAGAAGTTGTTTATTTGGAAGTTGTTTATTAATGTGTGAGATTAGAAATGAGCACTTTTAGAATAAATAGAGGTAGAAGATATAATTCTAAAGAATACCTCATTCAGGGAAGGTTGGAGGAAGAAGAACTAGTGAGTGAAATTATAAAAGACTGGTAAAAGTGAGAATAGAAATTGGGATAGAAAAGCTCTCTGATGTCAAGAAAGAAAAGGGGTTTTCAAAGGCAAGCAGGATCAACACTGTTGATTGAACAGGACATGTGGAGAAGGACCCATTGGGAGAATGTTGATGGCCTTTAATTTTATTTTTTTGTATTGAGGAGTGAACGCAGAGGTACTCAACCACTAAGCCCACATCCCTAGCCCGTTTTTATATTTTATTTAGAGACAGGGTCTCCCTGAGTTACTAAGTGCCTCAATAAGTTGCTGAGGCTGACTTTGAACTAGCGATCATCCTGCCACAGCCTCCTGAGCTCCTGGGATTAGAGGTATGCACCACTAATCTTCCTCCATGAGATTCTGCCTCATGTGTGGTGGCCTTTAAAATGAACATATAGGCCAGGCCTGGTGGTGCATGCCTGTAATTCCAGCAACTGGGGAGACTGAGGCAGGTGGATCACAAGTTCAAGACCAGCCTCAGCAAATTAGTGATGTCCTAAGCAACTTAGCGAGATCCTGTTTCAATTTTTTCTTTTTTTTTTAAAAGTGTGTGACTCAGTGATTTAGCACTACTGGGTTCAATCCCAGGAACCCAAAACAGAACAAACCAAACATAATAGGCTACAGAAGTAAATGTAGGGAGAGGCAAAAAGGAGTAGAGATGAAATACAAACATAATAAGTGAGGAGTATTTTAAAGACATTTTGTGGAGAAAGAAAGGAAAGAAATCTGGCTGTAGCTTCAGTAAGAAAAATAATGAGGAGAGAGTAAAAATCTAGGGCATAGTAAAAGAATCTTCTTGGAGGTCTGAAGCTTTCTGAGCCCCACTTGGGCCATGATGGCTGGAATTGACTTGTTAGTCCAGAAACTGGATATGGTGATGTATTTTTCCTGGTGAAATCTGCCAGTCTGAGAACAAGACCAAAAAGTTTTCTGGAATTAGAAACTTCTTTGACTGAAGGAATTTTCTGTGAGACGCTTTCAGAGGGTGGAGGAATTGGGGATCTGTTGCAGTACATTCGGTTTCAGAAATCTCTGTCCATAGATGGCCAACTCCATTGCTCTGGGTCCAAAGTGAGGCAGAATCTCATGGAGGAAGAGTGTAAGAAAAATGTGTACTAGGAAAAAAAAAAGTATATATTCATGTTGGAAGGCAAATTCATGTTGCCTATTTAACATAATATTGAGAATCTCTCTCAATGCTCTCAAGTAGTAATTTCTTCCTAGCTTTGAACCTCAGATTGTAGGTTAAACATGTTCTTATTTTTTACTCACTGGATGTAGAGCACATCTTTTCCATTTTTCTAGAAAGGCACTTTGAGGGGCAATTTGCTTTCAAATGTTAAAGGCCTCTGGGTGTTAAAGAGAAAGTGGTAGCATTTTCCCAGATGGATAACTTCACAGGAGGTCTGGGAAGCTGACCTACTTCTGAATTTACAGCTGAATTAATCCAGGTGGTAAGTGAGTGTGAAACATTTTTTTGAGGCTCATAAAACTGACATAGCCATCTTTTAAAACATTCTAAAATTCTGACATTTATATGATTTGTCCAGCATACATTCTAAAGTTTTCTCATGCTGGTTTAATTTAATTCAACAACTGACCACCTACTCCTTATTTTATACTGCCAAGCACTGGACATACAATAAGTAAAATGCAGTACCAGGAAAGCTTCTGTATGTGATTAATGATTTTTCTTCAGATAAATCTTTATAGTTTTTTTCAACTCCCGACACTCTCCAATTATTGTACAAATGACTTCTTTTGTTATGGAAATCATGCTCTGCTAGAGACCAAGCACCACTTGCAGTATTGGAGAACAGTTTATTTTCCCAGGCGGACCCTGATGAACTAGTGCTCTTAAATTCAGGGACCCACGCTGAGGTTACATGGGGCTTTTATAGGAAATTTGACATTTCTTAACCATTACAACATTGGTGGGTTTGAATTCTTGACCTACGCGACCAAAGGCCATTATGCACAGAGAATTTACCATAACTAGTTCACACCTGTAAAACAAAGACAGTAAAACACCTGCGAATAATATTGTTCAGTGGCCTTAACCCAAGGCAGCAGTAACTCAAGATTTTAACTTTGATTTTATCTCCTGAAGAGTTACACTTCTAAGAACTAAGCCAACGATGTTATAGTTTAGACAGCAGTTAATTGGCATAGTAACCTACAATTTATACTTGCAATTAGGTGAGATAGGTACATTCCTACAGAGTTCCGAAAGTTACAAAGTATAGGAAAATTAACTCTTTCCTTACGCATTGTCTTCATCATAATGTTCTTATAATTTCATTTTATAATCAGGTCTGGTATCTCCTTCACACTTTATTAACCTATCTTCTTAGATACCATGACCTTCAGCTTTCTCATCCTTTTCTACGGACAGGGATAAACTCCCAGTTTTTCTTTTTCTCCATCTCATTCATTCTCTAGGATAGCATAAATAAATGGGAAGTCTGAGACCAAAAGTTCATAAAGGTTAAATTGTCACGAATATTCCCAAAAGCCAGCTTACTCTCTGACTTCGGAGGAGTAAACAGGAAACTATCGATCCCATACAGGAAATGACCTGCTTTGAGGGCAAAGAAGGTGCCTTGGATTTCCCTCATTTTCCTTCTAAACTCATTTCCGGGTTTCAATCAATTTGGTCCTTCCCTACAATAACAGAGTTCGGCTGATTCTTTCCAGTCCCACCCTAGACTTCGATCCTGAGAGGACGGCCAATAGGGTATTCCCGTGAGTGGACATTTTCATTCCTAGTTTTACATCATCGCAAATCTTAACCAATCAGCAGTTAGGGTAGGAGGTACGAAAATAATCTTCACTTCCTCCCCAAATGGCCACGCCCCTCTTGCGACACTCTGATAGATTGCCTACATAGCCAATCAACGAGCAACGTTGGGCCCAGCCCATTCTAAAGCCAACCAATTAAAATGAAGATGGGGAATTGGGGCGGAGAATGGAAAACTTGCCCCCTCTTTTGGAAATGATTCGAAGAGGTGCGTCCCGAACCAGTGAAGTTACAACTTCTTACCAACGATGGCTGCATACTGAACCGTTTATATCATGTGCCGGGTTCAGTTCCCTTCTGATCCTACCCCAAGATAGGCCCCGCGACTAACATTCCACCCCGCCCCCGTTTCAGTATAACTCATCCCCACCCCTGAAGTCCTTCGGAAAAAGTCCCAACCCCAAAGGCCCGTGCTTCACTCGTTGCTCTCCCGCGGGGTAGAGTAGGGGAAGGAGAGATCCTGCCGCCTTTGGCGCCAATCTTTCCATTCAGTGCGCCTCTCCTCCCTTCTCCACGTTCCCGGGCCCGGGCTGACACGGGGGTGGGAGGAGCTGAGTGCCTGTTCGGTTTGGGGAAAGGCTAGAGCTTCTTAAGGTGGAACAGAGCAACTGGGAGGCTGGGCCTCCTGCTTACCAACTGCGCTTCCCACAGGGTCTCTCATTTTCTAGTCCCTGAACCTTGGTTCTAATCTTGTATTTGGGAGAATAACCAGGTTAGGTAGAGGATATAGAATTTAGGTAGAAAGCTTTAAAGTATACACTCTGTAAGGGAAATACAAACTATGAAGAGAACTTTTTAGTCACTGTTGTCATTGTCTTTTTCTTTCCCCCGTGATTACCTTTTGAAAGTGGCAGAATTTTTCTGATGTGTGAATATAAGCTTAGAATATCATAAATGAATCGTTTGTAAACCTTAGTTACTAGTTTCCCAGGAAGCTGGAAGAGTAACAGTAGTATACTGCAGGTGCTTGTGGTCTTGGCTCTGATCCAGTCTTCTCCTTTGTAAAATAAAGATTATAATCCTCTTTTTCTAAATTTGATATGAGTAATAAAAGAAGTTGTGTAAAAGAAAACACTGTAATGGGTGCAAACTAACATCAGGTAATTTTTCTACACAAAAGCATACCATAATAGTGAACACTTTGATAGTTCTTATTATGTTCCAGTATTTTTAACAGTATTTTAAAAAATTATCTATTTGTAAATTTTCAAGCTCAAGAGTAGAGAGAATAGTATTTTTTTTTTTCGATGTTGTAACAAGCAACATTGGCCAATCTTTTATCGCCTCTACTTTTCTCCTCCATCCCAAATTATCTTGGAGCAAATTTCAAGACTCTATACTCCCATATGCATTTTTAAAAAATTAAGATTCTTAAAAAATAACAATGAATGCATCTAAAGTATGAGAATTTTTTATATTATCCTCAGTATTGACATTTTACTAGCTGTCTCATATTTCATCCAGTTAAATTGTTCTAATGAGGCTCTCCTAAAAAGTCCACATATTGCATTTGACGGACATGTCTCTTGGTCCATATATATTGCAATTGGTTGATATGTCTTCTGAGTCTCTTTAATTTCTAGGGTACCACTCTCTCAGGCAGTTATCTAAGTGCATTACATGTATGAATTCACATAATCCCTCTGAAACACTATGAAATAGGTATCATCATTAACCCCATTTTACTGATGAAGAAATTGAGTAATAAAGTAGTTACTACAACTGTGATTTACCCGAGTTCTCTCAGTTATTAAGGGTCAAAGCTAAGATCTGAATACATGAATCTTATCCACTATATTATATATTTCAAATAGTACACTGGTCTTTAAAAAAAAAGCTTCCAAAGTGTGTATTATGGCATGTTAGTTACAGATGTTATGAAGAATTTTGGTTAAAGTGGACTAATACTCAAATAATTATATAACATGCTTTATAATAAAGAGGTGTAGATCCTTACATTTTCTTTCTTTCTTTATTAAATATTTTTTAGTTGTTGATAGACCTTTATTTATTTGTATATGGTGCCAAGAATCGAACCCAGTGCTTCACACATGCTAGGCAAGTGCTCTACTACTGAGCCACAACCCCAGCTCTATTAATTAATTAATTGATTGGTTTTGGTATATTTCAGTGGCTTTTTAAAATCTTGCTCCACTCAGGGGCTCAGAAGGCTAAGGTAGGAGGTTTGCGAGTTCAAAGCCAGCCTCAGCAATGGCGAGGCACTAAGCAACTGAGTGAGACCCTGTCTCTAAATAAAATACGAAATAGGTCTGAGGATATGCCTCAGTGGCTGAGTATCCCTGACTTCAATACCTAGTACCTGACTCTCACCCCAAATTATGTCTAGATGGTTGTAGTGGCACATTCCGGTGATCTCAGCAACTCAGCTGGCTGAGGCAAGAGAATCACAAGTTCAAGGCCGGCCTCAGCAACTTAATCAGGCCCTAAGCAACTTAGTGAGAACCATGTCTCAAAAAGGGATGGGGATCGTAGTTCAGTGGTTAAGAACCTCTGGGTTCAATTCTTAGTGCCCCCCCCCCCAAAAAAATTTGCAAAATACCTAAATGGTAAGGAAAATATAAAAATAAAACAACTCCTATTTGTACTTCCAGAGTTAAATATAATTACTTTTTAAAGATTTATTATTTATTTATTCGCTTTTTTATTGTTGTTATTGTTGTTATTATTATTATTATTATTTTGCGTGTGTGTGTGTGTATGTGTGTGTGTGTGTGTGTGTGTGGTATTGGGGATTGAACTCAAGGGTGTTTAACCACTGAGTTACTTTTCAAAAAATTTTTATTGGGACATTAAGTTCCTGAGGCTGGTCTTGAACTTGTGATCATCTTGCCTAAATCTCTCTAGTCTCTGGGTTTATAGGTGTGGGCTATCACACCTGGCTGAGGATGACTTATTTCTCACAGTTCAGGACAATGAAATAGAGGTTAAGAGCCATGTTAGATTTAAGTGTTTTAATGTAAAATAATATTCCTAATTATGTGAACAATGTGTGACTTATATGAACTAATTATGTGAATTTAGACACAGTTAATATCTCTAAGTTATAGTTTTTCCCACCTATAAAAGGTATAATTACAGTGGCTTATAGTATTGCCAGAAGAACAAAATGTAAATGCCTAGTTTGATTTTTTTTTTTTTTGTAGTACTGGGGATCAAACCCAGGGCCTCATGCTTGCTAGGCAATTACTCTACCACTGAGCTATATCCTCTACACTTTTAAATTTGATTTACTTACTTATTTGGTACTAGGGATTGAATGAACTCAGGGGCACTCAAACACTGAGCCACATTCCCAACTTTTTTTTTCAATTATTATTTTTTTAGATGTTGATGAACCTTTATTTATTTATTTATATGTGGTGCTGAGAATTTAATCCAGTGCCTCACAGAAGCTAGGCAAGCACTCTACCACTAACCCACAAACTCCAGCCCCTCCCAGGCCTTTTTATAATTTATTTAGAGACAGGATCTCCCTAAGTTGTTTAGGGCATTGATAAATTGCTGAGGCTGGCTTTGAACTTGTTATCCTCTTGTTTCTGCCTCCCCAGTCACTGAGATAACAGGCTTGCGCCACTGTAACTGGCTTAAATTTTATTTTGAGACAGGGTCTCATTAAATTTCCCAGGCTGTTATCAAATTTGTAATCCTCCTGCCTCAGACTCCCCAGTTACTGGGAATACTTACCTGCACCACAGCTCCCAGTTATGTGCTTAGCTTTAATGCCTGCATATTATAAATATAATGTAATCATATGTACATATAATTTAATTAAATTATAGTAGTGTATATTTAGAAGACACAAAGACTTTACTATCTAAGGCAAAATTCAGTCATCAAGTTGTAAGCTTGTGTATGCAGTCTTTTTTGGGCAATTCAAATATTAAATGAGCAATCTTTTTGCCTTTATGTTATTTTGTATAGAACATAGAGTAATTTGAGAAAAGCTTAATAAGCCAGAGGATAAAATACATAAGTGTTTGTAGCAGAATCATGAATGGAGGAAGAAAGCTGAAGTAGGCTTCCTAGTGGCATTTTTCTGTCTCTGATAGATTGTTGTGGAAGGGGCAGAGGATGTATTTTATTTATTTATTTTGGGTACAGTGGAGTGAACCCCAGGACACTTAACTACTGGGCCACATCCCCAGTCATATATATATATGTTTATTTATTTTGAGATAGGGTCTCATTAAGTTGCTTAGTGCCTGGATAAGATTGCTGAGGCTGGTCTTAAACTTGTGATCCTACTGGCTCACCCTTCCAAGTCACTGGGATTACAGGCATGTGCCACCACAACCGGCTAAGGATGTGCTTTAAAAAACATTCTATATGATACTCAGGACAATATATCTTGTAGGATTGACAAGTGAACTGAACAAGTCATATTTTGTGCCCTTTCTATATTCTATAGTTTAAAAGCATTTCACATAAATTAACTCTTTTGGTAATTGCAACAGCCTTATTGGGTAGCAGGAGGAGTGTCTGGTCCCCGCCCCGCCTTCCGCGACCAAGATTCCAGAGAACAGGGCCCTTGCACAAGTTTGTAGAGCAGGAAAAGCGAACAGGACCCACATCTTCTGATGTTTATTTGTCAGTTGCTAGATCACTTATCCTTTTATGTGTCCACTCACTGAGAAGAGTAGTTACTGAACTCCAGGATGATATCAGGGCAAAATATTAACCTTCCTTCAATCTCTAGAATAATTTATAAACTGCCTCGGGAAAAGAGAAACTCATCAAAGAAATTTCTGAGAAAACAAGTTGCTCATCTGTATAGAGAATACAATAGAATGGGAAAAGATCAGAGTACCAGAATTAGTGTGTAAATTGGAATTGACAGAGTAAGGTGTGCACGAGGGACTCTGCAGACAGGGAGCAGTGGGACGACACCCCAGGTAGACCGCAAGCGGCACGGAGCGCAGCGGCGGGGAGGCGGCTGGAGGTGAGTGCGCAGCGGCTGGGCGTTGGTAGGCTTCAGCGGAGGCAGCCTTGCAGTTGCCCGGGTGGAGCGCACACCCCGGCGGCCCGCCGCTCGGAGCCGACCCGCTCCTCCTTAACCCGCACGGGGAGGCGGCGGCCCAGCGGGCGGGGAAGGGGGAGGGGCGCGGAGTGCGGCGCCGAGGCCGGGGAGGAGCCGGGGCCTGCAGCGGAGCCGAGCCGAACCCGAGCCCGAGCCGAGCCCTGACACTGTCCGTCCGCTTTCTGGCTCCCCGGGAGCCCCGACTGGACGGAGCCCGAGAGGTGGCAGCGCGGGGAGCCCCACGCGCCGAAGGCAAAGGACGGGACGGGACAGGACTAGAGGAGGCGCTGCCGCCACAGTAGCCAGTGACGGGAGTCGGAAGCCGCGGCCTCCCGGACCCTGCTGCCCAGGCCAGCCAGGGGAGAGCGGGGAGTACGAAAACCCCACCCTCTGGGACACCCCCAGGAACGTGGGCGGGAGCGGGGACCTAAGAACCCTCTCTCCTGTTGGAGGGAAGACCCCAAGCCCCTTGGGTGAAGGAAAGAAAAGCTCGTTGTAGGAGACGCAGCTCGCCTTCCTAGAGGCTAGGAAACCCTCGGGAGAAGACCCCCAGAAGCAGAAAGAGGCGATCCTTCCTTAAGGAACGGAGGGGGACCGCCCCTGCGAGTCTCCACCCTCCAAACACACTCTAAACAGTTCAAGACTTTTGAGGCAAAGAGAAAGGGGAATATGCCAATGGAGTAGACACCCTCCATCCCACTCAGTACTCACGGAGGAGAGGCGTCCTTAGGTTCAGCAGCAAAATACACTATAGCGAAAGAGGAGGAATTGGCTTTCCGCCTTTCTCCAGAAAGGCGGAAACTTCCTTTCACCTAGACAGTGGAACCAGGTAGAGCCCCTCCGCTCAGATTTCCAGCAGACAGAAAGAACCCTCCGCCCCCAAAACATTCAGTTTGGGGGCGAGAGGGACTCCCCCAAGGGGGAGGAGACAACTCCTGGTTGGGAGAGGCTCCTCCCCTCCTCCCCAGGGTAACTAGCAGGGTGTGGGGGGTGTGCCACCTTCCCCAGGTAGGACCTCCTTCTCCTCCTCCACCCATTCCCCCCTCGGCTCCTCATCCTCAGGGGACCCAGTTCCCCTCACAAGCTTGGGAGGTTCAGTCAAGGACAGGAAGAGCCACTGAGGATGAGACCAGTCACCTGCCTCTGAAAAGGGGAATCCCTCCAACCTCAAACTCCAGTACCAGGTGGTTTCCTCCCTTTGCCGGGGGACTGGTGGAGACAGGTTAGTGTTTTCTTTCGTTTTTCTCTGTCATCTTTAGGCACCAGAGGGCTTAGGGGCCTGAAATGATAGATCTTGGGTTTCCTTACTGAGGAAAGTAGAGTGATAACTCAGAATCCTCTGGAAAATGTGTTCTGAAGGAACTTCTTAATTGGAACCTACATCTTGTTGCAAAAACTCAGAGAAATGAGTTTGTTAGTGTTCTGGAGGACTAAATGGATGAATCTCATTTAAGGTCCCTAGGGAAGTGGATGTTTTCATACTGAGGACAACTGGATCACTGATAACAGTTACTTTTTCAGAACTGCATGCATACTGTGTAACAAGGATGGACATAACCCAACTGGACTCCATAGCACCCTCCTCCATCCTTGGGCCTTTTCACCTGGAGAGTGGGCCCTCATCAAAGTCATGGTGGCAGCTCCTGTCCTAGGCTTGTCTAGGGCATGCCTAGGTCAGCTAAATATCTGCCAGAAGTGTCCTTTCCAACCCACTGTGATTACTCTTTACAAGCAAGAGAAACAGCCTGTCCCCACTAACCCTACTTCAGATACTGGGAGGACTCCTCTCCTGATATTCTCATTCCTAATTGGATGTATCTCTCTCCCTACAAAATCCACAGGGAAAATATGAATCCCCTGAGGCAAAAAGACAGTGTACAGAGGACTGACATTCCTGAGTTAAAGTTCTTCACAAATACTGGCTCTGCCCCAGTCCTGTACAGTTCTCCTGCCCTTCGCTGACAGTTCATCAGCAAATCAGGTCCTTGATAGAAAGAGAGGAGAGTTGCTACTAACCCCTCTCCAATCTTCCATCTGAATAGTTGACCAATAGGAGATTTTACCTCTAAGGAGTCCATTAGTTTCTTTCCAGAAAAGCACCTACTAGTCTCTATCCTCTGTTTCTTGTTCAGTTCAGGTCCCTGGAACTTTATATTTAAGTTTCCCACATAAGATAGGAAATTATCAATGTTCAGAATCTTCAGAAAAAGCAGGAAAAAGGTGCCAGGAAATTTTCCTAGATGAGCCTGGGCTGTGTTTTTAGTAGATCTCTGTCTTTCAACTTGAGGTCACTTAGCTGGGTGCTAGCTTTCCTGCTTCACCATTGGAACATACCTTATCTTCAGTAAGGGGCATTGTACTCCACAGCAAGGCCATGAGAAAGGCTTCCTCCCCTTGGGATATTTTTTTTCCTTTCTGTCTAGGTTGCTGGTGGTATGCTTAAGTCCCTAGGTATGTCTACTTGTTTCTGAAAGATACTCGTTGGTGGTGGTATATGAGACAGGGCTATACCCCACAGATTTGTATGGCTGCGTGGGTAGAATGTTGCACATGTGTTTCTTAACTGAGATCAGTGTTGCTCCTGTCTTTTGTCAGTGTTTTGCATAAGTGTGTGGAGAACAGGGATATGTGCTTTTCAGACTATACTCCAATTCCCTAGAATTGTGTTTCTGATAGGCCTCTAGGAGCAGATGATCTGTTCCAAAGACCTGGAAAGGGTGGTGGTTAAGGATGCCCAACTGGGAAGAAAGGCTTGGCATCCCCCTGTCAGTGGGAGCCTCATCCCATGTAGCAGGGAAGCCCAGTCTCAGGTTGGGACCATTTCTTCTAGGACCAATAAGAGAGCTTCATCCCTGATAACCTCTAGTCTCAAAAGGGAGAGAATCCCTGACTTCTAAATCTAGAACTGCCTCCTCCACTTTTCAAACAGTCTGTTTCTTCCAAAGCACTTTACCAGATGCTGGAGTGCAGCTTCTGAATAGTTTAGAGAGAAGTGTATCCTAATAGCTCCAGATATACTACTATTGCACAGTTTAACTGGTCCTGCTTGATCTGAGTTTCCCTAACCCTCTTTGCCTCTAAGGAATCAATTAGAAGCAGTTGGCTATTGGGTTGGATTAATTAAGAGGCAGAGATTGCTATTTTCCAGACCATGTCTTACAACTACAACTAGTTCCCCCTGAAAGATAAGAGATGGTATTTCCCCTATGCCTTCATCCTTGGGGTTTTTTTCAATCTTAGTATTATTCATTATGGGGGTATGATCTCTAAAGGAAAAGTTTGTAATTCTGACATTGTATACTTGGTATTGGCTTGCTGATTCCAGTCATGGTCTGTCATTTCTCTAATTTTTAAATTCTAATATTCTCTTTGCACACATGCTGAGCCTACACTTTACTACTATGCTACACTTCCAGCCCACTAATAGTCTTTATATTTCCCCATTCAAAAATAACAGCTATACTTAGGTAGCACATACAAAGTGCTTAAAAATACTAACTTTAAATCCTCATAACAATAGTTATTGGTACAGTAATTGTCTCTGTTTTATAGGTGAAGAAACTAAGACACAGAGAGATTAGGTGATTTGCTTGAGGGGCACAGTCAGAGGTAATGGAGCTGGCATTGAAACACAGGCAGTCTGACTGATATGAGGTACACTTAGCCATTGTCTTATTAGTTTTGGAATTATGAACAGGGCAGAAAGTTTTTACTCCTCAACACCTGATTCTGGCACTACACAGAGAATAATTACAAGTCATTGAGATAAAATGAGTAGTAAACTGTGTCAGTTATTTTGGATCTTACACATCTCACCCAGGTTTGGTCTTTAGCTCTCACAGAATGTGTTCCTGTTTTTCTCTGCCTTTCCCCTGGTACTGTAGTCCTTATTAGATGTCCTATGGATATGAAGGAGCCTGCCCTTTGGCTGCCTTTCCCCATTTCTGGGAGTATTTCCTTTCAGTCTTCCAGCACACACGGAAGAATGTGGCCTGACTCAGGTTCTGCCCAAGCCCAGTGGCACAAGGCCCACCTGGAATGAGAGGTCTGGGTAACTAGGTTGGTTGGACTCAGAAATGGAACTACCATTTCTTGTTTGCCTTTCTAATAATAGCCCTGAACATTAGCCTCCTGCCATTATTTTGGGGAGTGTGGAATGTGTGGTAGCCACAAGCTCATTAAGCTTCATTCCCTTCCCTCCAGGGATAAAGCTTTGGCAGGGTTGATGACTTCATCTCTTACTGAAGGGGAAACTGAGGTATTAAAACTTCATCAGAGAGCAAGGGATTGTTAGGGACACTCTGAGTCAGTGGCAGAGTTGCCAATACAGCTGAGGAACCTCTGTCTCCAAGGTTCTATACGTGAGGCTGCCCTTCAAGAAGGGGGAAGTGAATGGGGTAAGGATGTGGGACAGGTTTTAGGAGAGTGGTGCTGGAAGACCAGAAGGATCTGACCCTGCCAGCTTCTTGTAGCTGGTAAGATTGGGTATATTTTGAGTACTGAGTTTTCTATCTGGAGAACTGATTGGGAGGGTCCAGGACAAAGGTTAAATTTAACCTCAGTGACCTAAACTGGTGCTGGGGAAAGGGTAGAAAAGAGCACAGAACAACTAGTAAAAGGTTGATTGCTTCCATTCAGGAGTCATGGTGATTGGCATGTGTCAAAAGGATTCTCTAAGGACTCTAAACACTTTAAATTCACTCTCATGCTCTTTTTCAGTTTTGAGAGGGTTTCAGATGAAATATCAACTGGAGATCTTTGTGCTCTTAAGATGGGTGCAGTGGCACATGTCTGTAATCCCCGGGGTTCAGGAGGCTGAGGCAGGATGATCTCAAGTTCAAAGCCAGCCTCAGCAATTTAGCAAGGCCCTAAGCAATTTAGCGAGACCCTGTCTCTAAGTGAAATCTGAAAAAAAAAAGGGGGGGGGCGGGGGCTGGTTAAGCACCCCTGGGTTCAATCCTTTGTATAAATAAATAAGATTTCCTAGGGATCTTCAGCAGAAATTAAGAATGAAATATACCTGTAGCCTCCACATTTGGGAGCTTAGGACTTGAGTACAGGAGTTTGAGGCCAGCTTGGGCAACATAGTGAGAACTTGTGTCAAGGAAAGAAAATAGGGTTAAACCTCTTTAAGGATCTCTTCTTCTGGGCAGGACCCAGGAAATCCCTGGTCATTGAGAACCTGCTAATTGACATGTTGCTCTTCAGCTGGGGAAACCCAGCTATGGGACTGAGATATTGTCTAAACTCTCTGCTATAGCCCAGAGGCTGGGAGAAGATATGTGGTTGCCTGGAAAGATTAAGTGTCTCTATTATTTTCCAGGTTTCCATGGTTTTGGGCAAGGTGATGGTATTATGATGAAAAGGAAGATGATGGGAAGAGGAGTTAAGGATAAAGGGGAAACCTTTTATGATGTTATTTATAAGCCCCCCTCCCCCATATTTTTTTCTTCTGTCAAATAATTCTTGTGTTGCAATTGGGTCTTTGACTGCCCAGGCCCCTGAGGCACTAAGGTGTTTTCTTTAGCCTCGGAAATGGGTGTGTTACTGGGTGGCTACTCTGCTCTGTACTTGTGTGTACAGGCAGATTGTATGGGTGGGACCTTGGAGAAGAGGGGAGTGAGAATGCTGACTCTTAGGGGGAAAGGGTAGGTGTCAAGGACAGAAGAATTACTACTTAAAAGAGAGCCTGAAAGATGTACTGGGGTCAGGAGAAGGGTTGGGGGGAGTCCTATCTGAAATTGAGTTTTGACCTGCAAAATATGTAGAACTGTGTATACTTGTTTGTATATGCTCATGCATGTATCTGGCTGTAGATTTAGACATCACCTATCTAATATATTTCTGTCCAGGATCTGAACTCAGACATTCTAGACCTGACTCCTCTAGAGCAATGCCCTGGTGGGACTGAGGAAAAAAAAAGCCAGCTGGAATCTGGCAGCTGTGCAGGCACAAACCTGTTAGGCAGCAAGTGCTTAGGGGGTTGCTGGCATCATCTCTAAGGGAGTGCCAAATGGCTATCCAGTGGTCCTTGCCAGCCTTTCTGGACCCCGTAGTACAGATATCACCCCTAATTCTTCACCTTCCCCCACCAAGATGTCACTGTAGCTACACCTCTCTGGCAGCAAGAGCACCCAGGCAGTGTGGTTGGCAGTTGGGCGTGCAAACATCAAGCGTGGGCGGTCTGGCAGCCTTAGGAGTTTGCATGGAGGTGCCACGAGCCTGCGTGCCTGGCTGGGAAGGAAGGAGGGAGGAGGAGGGTGGGGAAGGGGAGCCGGCTCTTAGCCCCAGAGTGGCTATTTTTAGTCAGGCTATCTGATTGTTACCGATGCGCACACAGCTGGGTGTCTCCCTAGCTCTGTTAAGCCCAGCAGGCTGAGAGGTGGGAGGTTCTTGCTGATGATTTCTTCCTAGTACTAGTGTCTGTGGGCAGAAGCAAGCAAGGGGTAGCTTTAAAGGTGTGAGGGTAGCAGTGTACTCAAGATCTGTTTCTTCTGTGTGACTTTATGCTCTGTTGGTAATGTATGCTATATATCTAATTGTGACCTTAGTGTATGTGTCCCATTGTTTATCTGTCAATTTTGTATTTGGTCTTTGCTGGTTGTCATATATAATTTATATCTGGAATATGTCTAATATGTTTCATAAGCACATATGTGTGTGGGATAAAAAGGCTGAATGCTCATTATAAATGTGATATGAAGCAACTTTAAAAATGTTGGTATGTGCTTCATTAGTATACATCTTTGTTTACTCAGACTGTTTTTTCTTTACATGTATACTTGTGCTATCTACCTGTGGATATGTATGCAAATATAACAAGTGTCATATAATTGGAGAATGGACTAATTTTACCTGCTTAGTAGGTTTTTTTTTTTTTAAATGTATCCCTGCAAATGTATTCTGAAATGTTATGTTGTAAGGCTGTATGTAAGGACAATTGAGGGCATATCTCAATTTGGTGTGAGGTTTCGTGTCTGGTCTTGCCTGCAGGGAGATGCCTTGTGGGGATGCTTTGCATTAAGATGTAGGATAAGTAGCAGTTGGTCTTCTGGTATTTGATTAATGACATATCTGCCTGGGAGTTCAGGTCACTAGTTGAGGGCCATCCCAGGAAAGGAATTGCCTATGGAATTATAGTGGAAGAAATACTTCCCTTAAACATTAGGAATCTGGTATTTCTTTTCCCTAATCATTGGAGGTAACACTCATTTATTTTTCTGCCCACCTTTGTCCTCTTCTCTGCAGAGCCCAGAAGTAACATGGCTTCTGATCTAGAAAGTAGCCTCACTTCCATAGACTGGCTTCCCCAGCTGACCCTCCGAGCTACCATTGAGAAGCTTGGGAGTGCCTCCCAGGCTGGAACTCCAGGGGGCAGCCGCAAGTGTTCCCCAGGCTCACCCACAGATCCTAATGCCACCCTGAGCAAAGATGAGGCAGCAGTCCACCAAGATGGCAAACCCCGATACAGCTATGCTACACTCATCACCTATGCCATCAACTCCTCTCCAGCCAAGAAGATGACCCTAAGTGAGATTTACCGTTGGATCTGTGATAACTTCCCTTATTACAAGAATGCTGGCATTGGTTGGAAGGTGGGACTGCTTCTAGAATTTATTTTTAGCCTTTGTTTTCTCTTTTTCTCTACCTGTTTCCTTTCTACAATCTAGTTCAGTTTGCTCTGCCTTGTCTCAAAGATATGTCAATTTAAAAATCTCATATCTTTTACCTTTTTTCAGAGTTGAATGATTTTCTTAAGATATATCAGGGAAACTCCAGTGATACCAAGCCATTAAGTATAGTTATGGATGCAAGATGCTGTTGTACATCATACCCTCTTTTCTTCTGATTCCTCAAAAAGGATACTCATTCATTTCACAAATATTTATTGCCATTCTACTATGTTCAAGTCACTGTGCAAGGCACAGCATTACTCCCTCCTACCTAGAGGTAGGAAACCCATCAAATTTTCATAGCTTCATTGCACATAGTCATCATCTTCTGAAAAATCATATACCAAGAAAAAAATATATAATTAGGTCTTTGATCAACAGCTATTCCACCAAGCACATAATGAGAGGTTAAGTTATTTGCCTAGAGTTGAAGGAAGAAAGAGTTGTTCTTCCAAGCAAAGAAGGAAAGCTGATATTATAATTTCTTGGAGGAATAGCTCATTTGCTAATTGTTGATTAGGAATGGGAATTCTATGTAGTTTTCTCACTCTTTAAATCAGTTAACATACAAACTGGACAGTAAACTGGAGACTATTGAAAGCATTTTGCTCTCCTATTGTAAATATGTCTCCACTAGACCACAACCTTCAACCCCATCAAAGACATATTTTTCTTTGGTCCAGGTGTGACCATTCTAGGAGCTATTGAGAAAGTGAAGGTGATTTGTGCCTTTGTTTTATCCTTGATTTATATTTGTTATAGTCTATATAAACAGGTTAAAAAAATACCTTTATTTATTTTTTTGTGGTGCTGAGGATCAAATCCAGGGCCTCACAAGGTGAGCGCTTTAACGCTGAGCCACAACCCCAGCCCTATATAAACAGTTTTTAAAACACTTTTTCTTTTGCATTGATAGGGTGGATTGAAGAACTGGGCAGATGTGATATTTTTGGGGCGGTGGGTACCAGGAATTGAACCATCCAGGGGCACTTAACTACTGAGCCACATCTTCAGCCCTTTTTTATATTTTATTTAGAAACACTGCCTCACTGAATTGCTTAGGGCCTCGATAAATTGCTGAGGCTGACCTTGAACTCACAATCCTCCTGCCTCAGCCTCCCAAGCTGCTGGAATTACAGGTGTGCACCACCGTGTCCAGTGGCAGATATAATTTTTCAGGCATTTATGTACCTATTGTCAGTTAGCGGAAAAGTTGAAAAACCATATAATGAGGTTTGCAGATGAGAGGATGGCTATCATGATGATTGATCTCACTCATCAATTTAATTTCTTCATTTTCTTATCCTGTTGCTTCTGTTTTGTGAAATGTAATTTCATCTATCAGTGTAGTTAATAGCTGCTAAATGTACCTTGATCCTTGAACGTTATTGTGCATTATGTTCTTTTATGTCCTATTGAAAAATATTTTACTTCACACATTCTTGAATCTAACTTTCTTCTCTGCTTCCCTAGAATTCCATTCGGCACAACCTCTCTCTCAACAAGTGTTTCCGGAAGGTGCCTAGACCTCGGGATGACCCTGGGAAGGTGAGATACTGTAATGGAAATCATAGGGAAGAGGAGGAAAGAGAGTGAAGTAGTTGATGGCCCAGAGTCCTGTGGCTGTTTTAATTACCCAGAAGAGGAAATCATGTTAATTAGAGAAGCATCTTTATTTTTCCTCAAAGGAAGAGCTTAGCTGACAAGCTTGTGGAACTCCATTAGAATGGGTGACTAAGGAAGATTGTGAAATCTTTTTTTTTTTTTCAATACGACTCTTTGATAAAGTTGATTTTGAGACTCCCTTTCTTTTTGTGGCATTCTTTTTCTGTTTAGATGTAAAAGATTTACTTAATAACCTTTGTAGAAACTTTTCTGTACAAAAATCTTTACTTTTTACACTGAGATTTCATCTCACACTAGTCAGAATGGCAGTCATCAAGAATACAAATAATAAATGCTAGAGGGATTGGAGAAAAAGGAACACTTTACACTGTTGGTGGGACTATAAATCAGTACAACCACTGTAGAAATTGGTATGGAGGTTCCTCAAAAGACTAGGCATGGTGGGCTGGGGATTTAGCTCAGTGGTAGAATATTTGTCTCACATGCACAAAGCCCTGGGTTAAATCCCCAGCACCAAAAAAAAAAAAAAAAAAAAAAAAGACTAGGCATGGAACTACCATATGACCCAGCTATACCATTACTTAGTATTTATCCTGAAGAATTAAAATCATCATACTACAGTGATACATACATACCCATGTTTATAGCAGCACAATTCACAATCACCAAACCATGGAACCAGCCTAGGTGACCATCAACAGATGAATGGATTTAAAAAATGTGCTATGAAGCAAATTTTTTATTCATAAAGAAAAATGAAATTATTTAATTTGCAGGAAAATGGATGGAATTTGAGAGCATTATGTTAAGTGAAATAAGTCAAACTAGGAAGATCAAGGATTGTATGTTTTCTCTCATGTGGAAGCTAGAAAGGAAAAGGAAAAGGCTAGGCTTGTGGAGTCTCATGAAAATGAAAATGAAATCAGCAGAGTAAAGGAACCAATGCAGGGAGAAGGGAGAGAAAGGGGAGGTACTGGAGAATGATATTGGCCAAGTCATATTCTTATATTGTATGCATGTATGAGTATATAACAAATCCCATCATTATGTACAACTATAATACACAAAAAAATTATGGAAAAAATCTCTAGTTTTTACTTTCATAAGAAAAGGGATGGAACATTCTCCCAATTTGCAAAAGTAGATGCTAAAGGCCAGATGAGTTTTGCCTCAGGTCACAAAGAAAGGGAATGACTGTCTCTGGCCATTTTGCCATTCTTTGCACTAAATATTGTACTTCTAACCCTTCAGAATAATTGAGGCCTGTGTTTGGACTACAGAACTACCTCTGGCACACACAGTGAGCTTTTAGGACAGTTCTCTTTCTCATTAATACTAGTGCCCTCAGGATTCTATGTAAATGTCTAGAAGGTTGGCATGGTGGTGTAAGCCTATAATGCCAGTAATTTGGGATGCTAAAGAAGGAGGATCACAAGTTTGCCTCAGCAACTTAGTGAGACTTTGTCTCAAAATAAAAATTAAAAAGAACTAAGGTATAGCTCTTAGTGGTAGAGTGCCCCTGAGTTCAAACCCTGATATCAAAGAAAAAACAATAATCTGTGTAAATGCTCAGTCTTGTCCCCCCTCATCCCCCCACATTCCTTGGTATTGGACATCAAATCCAGAGCCTCATGCAGGCTAGGTAAGCATTCTACCATTGAGCTACACCCCTGAGCTCCAGGCCTGTTTCTTAATATGGCTGTTGGATTATCTGTTTTCAAAAGTGGGAACTTCTATAGGTAATTATTTTTTTTCTCTATGGGGATGGGTTCTTCTTCCAGGGCTCTTATTGGACAATAGATACCTGCCCTGACATTTCCCGAAAGAGAAGACACCCTCCAGATGATGATGTAAGTTTCCTCTTCCTGGGAAGATGCCATTTCTGAGTCAGTTGCTCTTTCTACCTCCTTTTCTGGATATTCAGTCTTTTCCAAAGCTAAGATGAATGCCAGCAAAGGGGAGACAATGGGTTTGGAGAAGATATTTCAATTTTTCTTATAGATTTCTTTTCTGTTGCAACCCTCAGCTCTCCCAAGACTCACCAGAACAGGAAGCAAGCAAGAGCCCACGGGGAGGTGTTCCAGGGAGTGGAGAAGCCTCCCTGCCTCCTGAGGGGAATCCTCAGATGTCACTTCAGAGCCCCACATCTATGGCCAGCTATAGCCAGGTAGGAAGTAAAAGTAGTAGGGGCCACAGGGATGGATAGCTGGGTAGATGGTTGTGTGGCTTCAGATAGGTTTCTGTTCAAAATTACATATTATTTGTGATGTTAGGAAGATAAAGTTGAAAAGAAGGGTAAAGCAAAAGAGAAAGTCCAAAGAGGGAAACAGAGGAAGAGAAAGATATAACAGAACTTTCAGGTAAATCAGGGGGAGAAAAAGTGAGAAGGAGGAAGGGGAGTAAAAAAAAAAAAACATGATTAAGAAAAGAAGGGTATGAATGTAATGTAGGGAAAGGGCAGTCAAAGAAGAAATGGAAAATGAGATCAGACTCAAGAACAACCAATGAGTAAAGAAGGAGAAAATGATGCTGTTCCATTGAATATATGAGAGGAACAAGAGGATAGGCAGAAGAGCCTGGTGACCGTAAAGTGTTGTTTTGTTCCCTCAGCTGGGACACAGATCAGGACTTTCTTACCTGTTTTTGCAGGGAACAGGGTCTGTGGATGGTGGAGCAGTGGCATCAGGGGCTCCAAGCCGAGAAAGCTCTGAGGGTCCCCCTCCCCTCTATAACACCAACCATGACTTCAAATTCTCCTACTCAGAGATCAACTTTCAGGATCTAAGCTGGTCCTTCCGCAACCTCTATAAATCCATGCTGGAGAAGTCCTCTTCTTCTTCGCAGCATGGTGAGTCTGGAGTTGGGATGGGTGCCTATATTCTCTTACATTTTTGTATAAGTGACGACATTCTCTTCTCCCTCATTTGTTGTCTTTGCATGCAAAGAGATTGATCACTGTTCACAGTTAACATATCAGGAACTAAAACTGTTTGGAATAGGACAGCTGTTTCAGAGAGTAGCCTGGATTGTAAGCTTCAAAAAATAAGTTGAAGGATTGCCCAGTCTAGAACCAGGGACAATGATTATTATTATTATTTTTTTTTTTTCTGGTTGCTGGGCTGGAACCCTTGGCCAATTTGTTTTAGGCAAGCACTCACCCCTGAGCTACATCCTAAGCCCATAGGGGATTTTATAGCTGTGAGCAAGTCAATTAGAGGATGACCACTAGGGGACAGCAGTACTATCCTCTCCCCAAGAGTCCCTGTATTTCATTATAAGAATTTATTTTTATATTATTGTATATTTATATTCTTATAATGAAAACTTTCAAACATATGCTAAATAGAGTGAATAGTATAATAAACCCCCATGCTTCCCTCACCCAAATTTTAAATTACCAATATGTTGTTAAGCTTGCTTTATTTACCACCCAGTATTTTTGAAATTAGAATAATTTCATGCAATTTCCTGATAGTGTTGCATTCAACCCATAAATATAATTTCAGTAATATGTTGCCAAATGATAAAGGCTTTTCCTTTATTTATTTACCATGCTATCATCATTCCTAACACAATTAATAATGCTTTTTTAATATCACTTAATATCTTAACCATTTGCACATTTCTGAAATTATCACATGAGAATGACTTAAGAGTTGTTATTGGGAGTCCCCTTGAGAGACCATCTCATTCAGCCCTCTACATTTCCTGAATTTTTTGAAAAAGAAACTAGAGGCAAAGGTGAGAGATATGAGTTCAAGTAAGGCAGATCCCTTCTTCTTCTGTGGCCCTTTGTAGACTGCAGGGACTTAACAAAATGATAACAACTGGTTAGAAGTCATTTTTTTTTGAAAATATATATTAATCATCATGAATTCTTTCTTTTTATATCCCAGGGGATCAGTATCTATAGTATGTTCCAAGATTGTATTAATTATTTGAGAAATTAATCCAACTCAGGTGGTCCGTTGACTGGAGAGAGGGAGTTTGGAGAAAAATGTCTGAAACAAAGTAAAACATTATATTAGATGGGGTGAGGACAACGAAGTATTCACTCAAGTTCAGCTGTGACTAAAAGCCTCTAGCCCAAGTCTAGATCTTCCCTGTCTAGTCTTCTTGGGAGGCGAATCCATTCCCACTCCGCTTTTCACCCAAGCTCCATTTGTTGGTAGTGAAATCAAGAAGGCAGTAACAGTAGAGGAGTAAAGAGATGCCCAATTGCTCAGTTTTACTTATAATTTACTTTTTAAATTTCACTTGCTATCTGATTTTTGAAACCGTGATTCCTGGCCTATACCAAAATCCCTGAAAAGTAGTATAAAAACTTAGTACACACTGACCTTTTAATTAAAATATAAGCGGTCACCACACTAACAATGCCCTGCCCTAACCTAACTGCCTTCCTGTCTGTTATCTGCCAGGAGAGACACAGGTATCCTTGCAGTTCCACACTATGTCCTTTCTTCCTTCCTTTGTTTTTTTCTTTTTTTCTTCCTCCTCTCTCTCTCCTGTCCTCCTTCCCCAGCCCCCCTCTCTTTCTTTTCATTGGAGATTGAACCCAGGGGTACTCTACTACTGAGGTATGTCTCCAACCTTTTTTTATTTTTATTTTTTTTTTGTTTTCATATACAGAGTCATGTTAAGTTGCCCAGGCCAGCTTTGAACTTACCATCCTCCTGCCTCAGCCTCCTAAATTGCTGGGATTATAGGCAGAGGACCCCAGAACACTCTTTTTCTTTTAATTCTATAGTTTCTATCTGAGGTCTCCTATCTTGACCCAGAGAAAATCCCATTTAGGGAAACATGCATTGCCTAAGTCATATGCCTGCTTCTTCCTCACCCTGCAGGCTTTTCGTCTCTCCTGGGGGACATGCCACCTTCTAACAACTACTACATGTATCAGCAGCAACAGCCGCCGCCAACTCAACAACAGCAGCAGCAGCCACCGCAGCCACAGCCACCTCCTCAACAGTCACAGCCGCAGTCGCAGCAGGCACCAGCCCAGGGCCCCTCAACTGTGGGGGGTGCCCCTCCACTGAATACCCCAAGCCCTGATGGTTGTACCCCACCAGGGGCAAAGCAAACTGGGCCTGAAAGCTATGGGCCTCCCCCTGTGATGGCCATGCATCCTCCCACACTGCAGCATGGGGGCTACCATCCTCATCAGCACCATCCCCACCCCCACCCTGCCCAGCAGCAGCCACCACCACAACAGCAGGCACAAGGCCAGGCACCTATCAACAGTACTGGCTTTGGTAAGTAAAGAGGGTGTAGAGAAAGCCTAGGAAAGGGTGAATGAGCCCCTAGTTCCGACCCTGCTATGGAGATGCACTTGTTAAGAAGTCAGTAGTGAGTCTTTTAACCTCAGTCTCCCCAGAGTTTAACTGAGCATATTGAAGTTGCTGCCCACAGCTCTATTTTGTGGAGGATTTGGAGATTAAGGATTTCATTATTTCCCTTCCATATTTGTGAATCATTTAGGAATTTTTTGATGTTCTCCTGCCTGTGATCTGTGCTGTACTTAAATCACCAGGTAGGGAGAGTCCAAAAATGTCTTGGTAATGCAACTGGTAACCTGTGTAGGTGCAAGAATCTTGCATGTAGTCAGTCTGTTATCAGTTGACTGCCGTCTTAAACTTTACTTTATCTCACTGCCTACTTTCTTCTTTACAGCCTTTCCTCCTGATTGGTGCTCCAATATTGACTCCTTAAAGGAAAGCTTTAAGATGGTGAATCGGCTTAACTGGTCCAGCATTGAACAGTCCCAGTTCTCAGGTTAGTCCTTAAAGGATGATGACTGGAAGGAAGAGAATAAGCAGAAAAATCCAATAGAATGAGAAGGGGGTGGGTAAGTGAAACTCGAAGTGTTTCATTATTTCCCCTCCACATTACACAGATGAATATTGTTAATGTCTTCAAATTAATTTTGCCCAACTCAAAATACGGCAATGATTTCTTCTAGTCAGTTTAATCTTTAAGAGAGAGAAGGCTCTTAGAATTTAGAAACCCTGGACCACTGTTTTGTAGTTTTGTCACCATTTCCTGACAGTGTGACCAAAGCTAAGTCAGTCACTTTGAAAGTTTGTTTTATTCATTGGTAAGATGGAAATAATAATAAGAGTTTAGTAAGGAACAAACAGAATGGGAGCTTGAAAATGTAGAGCACTTAAATTGAATTGTTAATACATATCATCAGTGGTATTGACTTTTGATGTGGGTGGAACAGTGAAATAGGGATGGGTCTGGTGCCTCTGCAAAGTTAGCATTGCTTGCTTTCCTATTTGTAGAACTCATGGAGAGTCTACGACAGGCAGAGCAAAAGAACTGGACCCTTGACCAGCATCACATTGCCAATCTGTGTGACTCCCTCAACCACTTTCTAACTCAGACTGGTCACATGCCTCCTCAAGGGGGCTCCCACCGGCCACCAGCCCCTGCTCGGATTACTGACTCCTGTGCCCTCACCAGTGGCAAACAGGAGACAGCCATGAACCAAGGTATTGTACAAAGTAAGCTCCAAGATAGAGACTATGATGAAAAGGAAGGTGGGAAAAAGATAAAAAAGAATCACTGTTGAATCAGTGAATCCTGAAAAATGCAAAGAAATAGACTGGTCCTTTTCAGACCTTAGTTTAGGAGATCAAATTACTTATGAAAAAGGAGAAAATTTTTTAGAGAAAGTCCCCATTACAAATTGTGTCTCAGGATTCCACCTCTTGGGTCCCCTTCTTCCTCCAGGAGAAGTCTTTTCTGCTGTCCTTTAATAAACTTCTAATTTCCACTCTGAAAAAAAAAAATTGTGTCTCAGTAAATTTCACACTTTTAGTATCCATTCTTTTTCACCCTAGGTGGTGAGGACTGATGACTTGTTAAAAGCCTTCATGCCCACAAGATCTATAGAATAAGGCAGGGAAGGGAGACAGAGATTGATGGGAAGAAAGCTGCAAATTTTTTCTCCCTGTTTTGTTGAGTACAGTGATTCCCCAATCAATTAACTCTTGTCTTGTTTTGGTAGTGAACTCCTATGGACATCCACAAGGCCCCCACCTCTACCCTGGTCCATCACCAATGTACCCAATCCCTACCCAGGACTCAGCAGGATATAATCGCCCAGGTAAGAGCCAGAAAGTGTATTTCACTCTCTTGAAGTATTAACTGCAGCTGAGCACTGAAATAACTGAGCGCTGTCTTCCCTGTTAAGTTGTATTGCTTTCTTCTGACTCAGCCCGCTCTCTGTCCTAGTGCTTGCACCTGCTAGAAGGGAGTGAGCCGTCATGATTCCCATGTCCCAAAGATAGGGATGGGCTACTTACTTGCTAGGAGGTATATATCAGGGGAGACTTTAAAAAGTCTGATGTATTTTTTAATTTAGCAGTGTTGGGAATAAAATCCAGGGCCTTGTGCATGCTAGATAAGCACTCTATCATTAAGCTATACCCCCAGCCCTAGATTTACTTTAAAACTAACTTGTAACTACAATAATGAAAGAAAATAAAGCATAAATTTAAGCAAGAGATATGTGTGGGACATTTATGTCTAGCTTTAGAATCTAGATGGAAAATATATTTATTTAGGCAAATAAAATTAATTTTTTAGTATAAACATACCTGCTTTGGGCACATGGCTGTTTTCCTGTCACCTGACGACGGGTAATATCAGAGGCTTGAGATTAAACTATCTTTTTTGAGTTTTGTGGTGTTAGGGATTGAGCCCAGGCCCTGATGCATGTTAGGTAAGCACTTCCCTCCTGAGATATACCCCTAGCCTGGGATTGAATTTTAATGGTGGGCGTGTAAGTGAGGGAGACACTGAATTGCCATAGATAGTATAAAATGAACAAGTTCTTTACATTTAAATACATTTTAGGAAAATCACTCTTGTCATCCTATATAATCATAAATGTTTTCAGTTTTGGTGGTGACATCTGACTCTTTATCCATGTAATACAAATTTCTTTTCTTCTTTCTCTCTTTTTTTTTTTTTTTTTGTGGTACTAGGTATTGAACCCAGGGAAGCTCTACCTCTGAGCTACATATCCATCCCTTCTTATTCCTTCTTATTTTTTATTCTGAGACAGAATTTCATTAAGTTATCCAGACTGGCCTTGAACTTGTGATTTGTCTGCTTTAGCTTCCTAAGTAGCTGGGATTACAGGGGTGTGCCAGTGTGCCTAGCTTATAAATTCAAATTTATGTGCTGCTCTTTCATGTAATAATACATTGTATATTATATTATCATTACTGATAGTCTTCATAATTTTTGTGCATATGGTGCTGGGAATTTAACCCAGGGCTTTGTGCATGCAAGGCAAGCACTCTACCAACTGAGCTATATCCTCAGCACCATAATATAATTTTTGATGGCATGATATTTTATTGTCATATAACCTAGCTTCCTCTAGTTTATTTTCTAAGCTCTTAATGAAGTGGTGGCCTGCAACAAAAATAACTTTAACCTGATAAAGTAATAGCTGCACCAGCTGAGCACTTTCCATCTAGACTGATGGAGCAGCTTCTCATCCAGTCTCCTTTTACTCTTTCTTTCTTTCTGACAGCACACCATATGGTCCCTCGGCCACCGGTCCCACCTCCTGGTGCCAGTGAGGAGATCCCTGATGACTTCGACTGGGACTTGATCACTTAATAGAGTGGACATCAGCCCCGGGTCTGGTGGTTAAGTCTGGCCATGAAGAAAGAGCAACCCCAGCCCGTCCCTTCTCCTGCTTGTATATAGATATATATCCACTTTTTGTTCTTTCTGTCAGAGAAGCCACTGCAAGATGCTGCCGAAGATAATTCCCTTTTTCCTTCCTCATTTTTCTCTTGTCCTTCCTGTTTTTCCCCTAATTTGTTTATTGTTATTCTAATTATGTTGTTTTTGTTATTATTATTATTATTATTATTGGTTATATACTGTCCCCAATCTCCTTTTCCTACACCATGGACTGTGTCTACCCCTTGCTAATTTAAAGTCATCAGGTTGGAAGACAAGGCCATGATAGCTATAGAGAAAGGTTTCAATTTTTTGTTTACCTTTCTCTTCGAGAAACTCAATGCGAATCCCACTTTCTAGCTTTAAGTTGTTTGCTGTTCCTGTCTATTTCAGCTCAGGACTGGAGAGTCCACACAGTTGAGTAGAAGGAGTCTAAAACACTGCTTGGCAGCCATGAATTTGCAGGTTTTACTCAATGGTGCTAATTCTGTCCTCCGAGCTCGTCCCTGACCCTTTGTCCCATCAATCCTTACTTCTTCTGACAATCCTCATTCCCCATCAAGGATAAGATGGATGCTGGTTCAGGAGAGCGACAATAAAATCTTAGTGGAATTAGAGACTGGATTGGGTTGAGTAGAACATTGTGGAGAAGTGAATATAAATCGGTGTGAAATACGGTATATATTGCTGTGTCATGTAAGCTCTCATTGGCTTATTCCTAGCCCATTCTCTAAGGAAATTGGATTGGCCTTGGCTTGAACTCTTCTTCTATGGTTGTACATGAGGACAACTATTCAGCATAGGCTCAGCTTCTTGGAGATGATTTCAACTTAGTCATCTTGGCTTTTTAAAAATAATTCTCTGAAAATTAACGATGGCTCTGACTTTCATAGGTTGCCTTCATTACCTTTTCCCATGGAGTAAATATCATTTTGAGCTCTAGTTGTTTGCCCTAATATTTAAACTATCTTGTTTTCTTCCTTCATTTCCTGGGAGTCTCAAGAAAGAAAAAGTAAGGCATTCATACTGTGGGTTTCATTATGTCCTCGTTATGATATGGGAATCTCTTTCCCGCATAATAGCAGAATCACACTTATAGAATTGGTAGTGGAGGATGGGGAGAGGAAAAAGGAGCTGGCATAGATTTGGATAGGGAATATTTCATTTATTTAATATATATATAGGAAGATGCTACTCTTGAAATACAGATCATCAGGGCTAAAGCTTTTGCAATTAGGCTCTTGACAGGTGGAGGAAATTGGGAGAAGAGAGAAAATGATCTAGAAGAAAGAGTTCAGTGAGGACCAAGAGCAACTTCCAGAAGAAGTTACAGGGATAACTTGTCTCCTTCAACAAGGGATGGCCATGATTTATTGCTGCAAAGTTCGTAGTATATATATAATATAACTTGTTGCATTTGAGTTAGGAGAGGGAAGAACAATTTTACTTCTATTTTTATTTCACTGAATTTTCCCTTTCTGAAAGCTGCAGGACAGAATGTATGGAATGGACACAGCCCTTTATGATTTCTACTGTTTGTTCATATCCTTTTATTTATCCATGTTTTCCAAGATATTGGACTTTCTAATCTCCTGCTTTTCCCCCTCATATACCCCTTTCCTTTCTTTGGAAGGGGGTTATATATGAGTTTGTTGGAGAAGTTCAGTGAGGCTGAAGTAAAGGGGCAAGATAGGGCAGTTAACTAAAGAGCACTTTATTTCTTTGAAGCCTTTGTAAGAAATAAATGGGGACGAGAGTAGATTGAATCCCTCATGTGTTGGAGAGTACTTAGTGGGGTTGAAGTATGACACAATATTTTCCATTAGGGAGAGGAGCATTTCTTATAGAGGGAGGCAAAATGCCTTTGCCTGGTGTCCCTATGTTAGGCATCTCTTCCTTATTCCTTCCATTCAAGGTACACCCTACATATAATTTCCCTTCAGTTCTCCCCAAGATTCTTTCTTTACAGATTAACACTCCTCTTTTCTAAAACCCCTTTCTACTTGGTTCCATACAGAGTTAGGAAGGGTAGGCTAAATCATACACACAAATGCCCCTTGTTCATCTGTGTCTTCTGAAAACTAGTTTCATTAAGAATCTGGTGGTCAGCCAGAGTAACTGAAGTTTGGGGCTGGGACTGGAGATTGGCCAGTAGGTCACCTGAGATTCCAGCTTTTCTCCACCAAAATCAGCCTTGCTAAATGGTACAGGACAAATCTGACTCCCATTGGGCCTCAATTTCCCTTTCCCTCCATGAAATGGAAAGAATACTACTTTTTATTATTGGTCCAGCATTGCTGGACATGAGGTATATTCATTGTTGTTGTATTGGGTGATGTGTGAAAATTGCAGGAGCTCACTGCCTAAATGAGGAAATAAGGGAGAAAGCAGAGGAGAGGGACAAAAGGAGCAAGTGTCTGGTATCAACCTAACCATCCCAGGTTTCCTCTTCTCAACCCCATGTTTCTGGTCTGGTGAGTCCTTTATACCACCCATAATGCTTTGCATTGGTGCAGGCTGGGAAGGGGTATATGGTCTCACAATTCGATGTTGTTGTTCTTGGGTTTTTTTTTTTTTTTGCATGCTTTCTTAATAAAAAAAAAATGTTTCCAGTTTTATCTTACTAGTGTTTGTCTCCAATTTATTTTTGCCAGGTAGGACAGGAGAAATGTGAAAGCCTTTGGTTTCAGTTGTCCTTTGTCTCTTTCCCACACCTCACCACTGGGTTTCATTAGTTGACCTTTTTTTTTTTTTTTTTTTTAATGCCTTTAACAGTCCTTTTTTTAAATGCTATTAAATGTAGTGAACTTTTGTTGGGAGAGTCAGTAACCCCTTGCAGGTTCATGGGTGGAGTAGGCCCACCTTTTAGTGTCCATTTAAAGGATGCATGAATTTCTAACACTTGAAAGGAACCAGGGGCAAAAAAATTTATTCACATGAAATACATAAGCAAATTAAATTGAAAAGCTATTACTGCAAATCTTACATCAGGTCAGACATTATTTTCTCACAAACAAAAAATTCCAAGTGGTTTGAAATTTTTCTGCACAGTACTTTACAACAAATTTGTAGTCTAGACCCTTACCTCAATTATTGAGCAAATCATTCTTAAAAGTCTAAAATGCTATGAGAGAAGATATTTTAATAACAAAGAAAATTCCAATGAATTATGCAGAAATACTGTTTCTACACCATCTTAAAAAAAAAGTTATGAGAGATTTTTGGAATAGGAAAACATTTTTTAAAGTTGAGATTTAAAATTGTAAAAATGACCAGAGTGTCAAAGTTCTAGTAGAACTCATTTTGTGCAATGAACATGAGGAAAGATTACTGTATAGTTTTGTTGTTTTCCCCTCCCTTTTAAATGAAGAAAAGCTTTGCTTAAAAAATAAAATAAAATGCTATGTTGTAGTACAAACAAGCCAAAATTTCAAAGGTTTAACATGATGAAATACACAGAGGAAAGAAAAGGTGGCAGGAATTGAAAAAATGCTTTTTAAAAACCAAAGAAGGTTTACTGTGGTACTATTCACAATAGCTAAGATATTGAATCAGTCTAGATGCCCATTGACAATTGAATGGATAAAGACAATGTGGTATACATATACAATAGAGTATTTTTCAGTCATAAAGAGAAATGAAATCCTGTCATTTGCAGCAAAATGGAATGGAACTGAAGGACATTATGTTAAGGGAAATAAGCTATGCATAGAAAGACAAGTACTACATATTCTGTCTCATAGGTAGTGGTTAAAAAGTTGATCTGAAAGTTATAATTGCTATAGAGATTGGGAAGGGTGTGTGTGTGAGGTGTGGTGGGGGGGTGTGATGGGAAAAGGGTGGTTGGATTTGATCAGTGCATTCTGTATGCATGTATGGAAATATCACAGCAAACCCCATTAATATGTACAATTAATATGTGTTCATAAATTTTTTTTTAAAAAATAAGGAAAGCTACATAAGTTGTTGGAATATATAGGCAAATTAGAAGAAAAATTTGTGATCATGAGCAAATTATGAAAGTTGGCCTGTTGAATAAACTACTTTAGAAATAGGAAGATATCTGGATAAAAACCTTCATCTTTTAAAACAAGAAGTCATTTTATCATGTCTACAAAAACAGCTGCAAAAGCATATTACTTAGGAACATGGTTAATATCAGGAGAAATATCTAAAATTGTTACAAGAGTTATCTCTGGGAAATGAAAGTGGGAGTTGCGAGTTATTGGGCAATGGAATAGAAGGCCTCATTTTATTATAATCTTTAAATTCTTTAATAATTAAATGTGTATATTACTATTACTTGGTAAATATAAAGATTAATTTTAAAAACTTAAATGCTGGTGGGCATGGTAGCACACCCCTGTAATCCCAGGGGCCCCGGAGGCTGAGGCAGGAGAATTGTGTATTAAAAAGCCTCAGCAACTTCAAGAGATCCTATCTCCAGAAATAAAAAGGGCTGTGGATGTGACTCAGTGGTTAAGCACCTCTGGGTTCAATCCCTGGTAGCAAAATAATAATAGGTACTTAAAAGCTATGTCTGGTAATTTGGGCATGAAAGAGACCTGGAGCCATGTTTAAAACACTTTTTTGATGGTATTCCTGTCAGGGTTCCCAGTCATTTTTCAGTGAATCAAAGATATGCTGCTCCATCCTCCCTTCTCTTCCTCCTTTCATTTGAAATGAGTTCCTTGAGAACTATTAATTTGGGGCAAGCAGACTAATTAGAACCTTAAAGAATCAGGAGTTATGTGAAGCACAAAGTCTGATGTGAAAGAAGATTAAGAGGCAGGGGAACAATAAGGAATTAAGAAATTAAAAAGGAATGAAGATAGATGGTTTTATCAGTAGGCAAATAGAATCAACAAATAGAGAACTCCCCAAACCACAGTTTCCATAATATTTCATAAGTAAGTTTTTAGATGTATTCTAGATGCTCTTCAGTGGTAATCTTGGAAACTTTGACTTCCTGTATTCTGTATCAGGGGTATTCCCAGCAGCAGACATCTGGCATTGTACTCTGCTCCAGACTCGGGCGCATAACTCCTTATTTTCACATGCTTTTTCTTTCTGCAACTTATTTTCATTTAAAACTGTCACCACCAACATCATAACAAAGCCATATAGAATAAGTGATTATCTTCCATTCATGTAAGACAAGAAGAAATGGTCTTACGTTGGTAATATGGAAAAGGATTTAGATAATGCTAAAGAAAAAACTTAGTGATGGAAACAGTTAAAAATAGAGTAGGCTGGGCATGGTAGTGCATGCCTTTAATTTCAGTTACTCAGGAGGCTGAGGCAGGAAGACTGCAAGTTCAAAGCCAGCCTCAGCAAATTAGTGAGGCCCTAAGCAACTTAATAAAACCCTGTCTCAAGAAGAAAAAAAAAATTGGGGACTGGGAGAATATACCTCAGTGGTAAAGCACCTCTGGGCTAAATTCCCTGTAACCACCCCCCCCCCCAACACACACACACACACACACAAAAAAAAAAAAAAAAAAAAGACTAGATTCTTATTTATAGTACATGGCTTAGGGATAGAAATACACCAATTTTTATAATGATTCTCCAATTTGGTGTTAATGAGAAGCAAGAGGGCCTGTTAAAACAATGGGCCTCATCTCCCAGAGATACTGATTCATCCTTGGAACCTTGAGTATTGAATTTCTAATAAATTTCCATTCCAGTAGATGCTGATGCCAGTAATTTGAGACCACACTTTGAGAATTGCTAGATTGATTATTTGATGATTTCTGAAGTCTCCTGCTTGTCATAATCCCTCATTCTTTTACAAATACTCACTAAAGACATCTACTTAGGTAGGTTGCTCTGGATTTTCACACACCTGTGCTGATGCTGTTTCTTTCTGTAAAGACTTTGTTTTGGAAACAACTGGTAGAGTGTGTGAGTTCCTCACTGAAGGCTGCCTCCAGAATACCCTTCACAGACTGCTTTGCTTTCTTCCTAAAATCTTTCCCCAAGAGGGCATAGAGGAAGGGATTGAAACAACTATTGGCAGATGCTAGAGCAAGGGCCACATTGTCCCAGGATAATAGAGTTCCTCTCAAGGAAGATCCTGGGCTAATAACCAGTAATAGGACTCCAATAATATGGTATGGGGTCCAGCAGACAAGAAATACAGTCACCACCATCATGGTCACTCGGAAAGTTTTGTTCCGAGACTTTGTCAGTTGGCTCCGTCGCATTCGAAAAACGATGATGCTGTAACAGCACACTATGATAATAAAAGGCAGCAAGAAACCCAACACTAACCTTGTAATGGTTATTATCATCATAGTTTTTTGCACTTGACTGTCACCAGGAAATTGGCTTAAATTATAATCCTGGAAATCTTGTGATTGCTCAGGCTCATAAAAGTTATCACTATAAGCCCTGGGGTAGAGGTCTAAATCAGTAGGAAGAAGATTATTAGGGTTATGCAGTACATCAGTTTTGTGATCTTCAGTGAGAAACCCACTGGGGCTTGCAGATGAAATATTAGGAGGCTTAAAATTATTGTAAGATGGATATCGTCTAGATAATCTTGTTGACTCCCCAGGGATCAAATCTCCAGAATGTCTTCCAAGTGTTTGAGATTGGAGGATGGTGGGGGCTGTCCAAGGATAATTGTTTGCTTGGAAAGAGGAAAAATTTAACTTATCATCCATTTTTCCAGGCTGCTGAACAATGGAGTTGGTGAAAGACCCATTTTCTAATTCATCTGGATCATAGGTGTAATCCGAATAATCTGAGCTGGTGAAACCAAAATTGTATATACACATTTTATAATCGTCTACAGTGAATGTTTCCCGGTACATGAACACAGGAATACACATTGCAAAAGACATCATCCAAATACATCCACAAATAGCGAAGGCTGTCCTCACTCTGCGATGATTCTGACACCAGATTGGCCTGAGTACCATCAGACATCGGTCCACGCTAATGGCAGTAAGCAGGAAGACACTGGCAAACATGTTGAGGATGATGATGGAGGGGATAAGCTTGCACAGGAACCTGCCATAGGGCCAGTATCCATGGAGAGCTAAGTGAGCCAGGGAGAAGGGCAAAGAGAGGCAGCAAAGAAAATCTGCCAGGGTGAGATGGAGAAACCAAACTGTGTTCACTGTCCGCTGCATCTTTAGGCCAGCCACCCACAACACCAGCCCATTGCCTGGCAATCCTAATAAAAAAGTGAGGCCAAGAATGACCATAGAGAGAATTATTTGGGGTTCATACAAAGGCTGGGAGAGTGGGTCAGTTGAGTTGGTCTCAGCAGAGAATGACTCCATTGCTAAACTTCTGCAAAAAGATGAAAGAAATGTTATATAACTAACAGTATCTTTGTAAAATGTGTATTCTTAAAATCCTAACCTGCCTACATAATGATGCGGCACCGCAAAGCCAGAAGGCCCTCACATGTTTTTGTTTATATTCCTTGATGTTTTAGGCATCTTTGCATCACTGTGACCAAAAGACCCAACAAAGAACAACTTAGGGAGAAGTTTGTTTTGGCTTATGGTTTCAGAGGAGAGGCAAAATTTCATGGCAGAGGAAAGCAGCTCAGGACATGGCAATCAGGAAGGAGAGGAGAGGGGATGAGAGGGGAGGGGAGGAAAGAGACTACTCCATTCTCCAGAGTAAAAATATAAATTCCAAGGCATGTCCTCAGAGACATACTTCCTCCAACCACACCTTATCTGCCTGAATCCAGTTAATCCAGAAAAGTGAATTAATCCACTGATTTGGTCACAACTCTCATAACCTAATCATTTCATCTCTGAACATTCTTGCATTGTCTCACACATGAGCTGTTGGAGGACACCACATATCCAAACCATAATAGTTGACTTCATACTAAACCACACAAAAACATTTTCTGACAGTTTAAAATCTGTTGGATAGATTTGAATGTGTATCAAAATATCAACTTCACTTAGAAGTCCATATCAATGCAAATTTATGATTTTTTTTTTTGGTACTTTTATCTCTCATTTTCCACTGACTCACTCCATGCTTCATGTCCCCCAAAACAAACAAGTAGGGGCTGGGTTGTGGCTCAGCAGTAGAGCGCTTGCCTCACATGTGAGACACTGGGTTCAATCCTCAGCACCACATTAAAAAAATTAATAAACAAAATAAAGGTATTGTGTCCATTTACTATATATATATATATATATATATATATATATATTTTTTTTTTTTTTAAACAAACAAGTAAGCTAAATGAGTAAACAAAAACTTCTGGAACTTGTGGTCCCCAACCTGTGTTAATGAAAAGGCTTTTGGAAGCTTCACAATCTAAAATGATATGAAAAATTTTAAATTTATTTATTTTAATTTCTCTGATGGCAGAAGTTGGATCCATTTCCTTAAGCAGACTTTTAAAGGACTCAACTATCACAAAAAGAGGGAGTCGCCACTTGGTTTTGTCTTTCAGATGCAACTTCTTCTTTTACTATCAGATTTCTCAAGAGTTATTGGTGCTCTTTGCATTGACTGCTTTCATCATTTCTTTCTTGTGTTTTAGAGTAAAATTTGGGGAAAATAGCTTTATTATTACAAAAGCAGAAAATAGGCATGAAGAGAGTTGGAAACAGACAAGTAAAACTAAGAAAATGAGCTGGCATGGTAGCTCATGCTTGTAATCCTAGTGCCTTGGGAGGTTGAGGTAGGAGGATCTTGAGTTCAAAGCCACGCCTTAGTAACTTGGTGAGACCCAAGCACCTCAGTGAGATCCTGTCTCTAAATAAAATACAAATAAGAACTGGGGATGTGGCTCAGTGCCCCTGGCTTCAATCCCTGGTACCAAAAAAAAAAAAAAAAAAAGAAAGAAAGAAAAAAATGAAAATGTCATATCCACCAGTCAGTGATTACTATATCTTAATTTATATCCTTTGGATCTTTTTTTTCATATATGTGTGTATACATATGTATATGCATTTTTTTGTTAAAGTTTAACAAAATTAGATCATACCATGAATATTTTTAAAAAATTTGAATTGTAAAACACACAACAAATTTTTTTTTATTTTTATTTATTTATTTTTTAGTTGTAGATGGACACAATATCTTAACTATTTATTTATTTATTTTTATGTGGTGCTGAGGATCAAACCCAGGGCCTCATGAGCGCGAGAGAAACTCTCTACCACTGAGTCATAAACCCAGCCCACAACATAAAATTTACCATCTTAGTCTTTCCTTCCTTCCTTCCTTTCTCTCTCTCTCTCTCTCTTTTTTCTTTCTCATATTGGGGATTAAATCCAGGGCCTTGTACATCCCCAGCTTTTTATTTTATTTTTTTTAGTTATAGTTGGACACAATGTCTTTATTTCTTTATTTTATTTATTTATTTTTTTGTGGTTCTAAAGATCGAACCCAGGGCCTTGCATATGCTAGGCAAGTGCTCCACTGCTGAACTACAACCCCAGCCCCATCCCCAGCTTTTAAAAATTTTATTTGAGACAGGATTTCGTTAAGTTGCCAAACTTGTGTTCCTCCTGCCTCAGCCTCCTGAGTAGCTGCCATCATAGGTGTGTACCATTGCACTCTGCCTCAACCATTATTAATAGTTCAGCAGTATTTACTGCATTCACATTGTTGCAAAACTAATGACCAGAACTTTTTCATATTGAAAAGCGGAAACTGAACCCATGAAGCAATTCCCAGTTTCCTCCTCTCCACTGCCCCCCCTCCCCCGCAACAGACATTCTTTCAATTTTTACAAATTTGACCACTTTACATACTTCATAGTTTTTTTCTTTTTGTGTCTGGCTTTTTCTTTTTTCATTGAGCATACTGCCTTTCATTTTGTGGAATGTGTCATTATTCCTTTCCTTTTTAAGGCTAATATTCCAATGCAAAAATGAGAGTTTATTTATGAAATTATCTGTCAGTGGACTTCAGATTCCTTTGACCTTTAGGCTGTTGTGAATAATGCAGCTATAAATAGGGGTGTAAATACATATTGTTTTATAAACTTGTTTATGTTTTCAGTTACCAGTCTTCACATTACCCGGAATGATTGTACTTTAAGGAATATCTAGTCTTTGTCCAATTATTTGTCAACTGCCCCTAAAATATCTTTTATAATTGATTTATATGGAAGCTGGGGTTTTGGTTTAGTGGTAGAGTGTTTGCCTACCATGTGCAAGGCCCTGGGTTCGATCCTCAGCACCATATAAAAAATAAATAAAATAAAGGTCTTGTGTCCAACTACAACTAAAAAAAAAAAAAAACAAACAAGATTTATCCCTGACAGTATCCAACCTAGAATCATACTTTATTATGGGGTGTTATATATCTTAAGTTTCTTAATTTAGCATAGTTTCTCTTTTCCAGGATGTTGGCTCTTTTGGGGGTGCATTGTTCTGACCACTTCCTTCTTAACTTTTAAATTTACATACTGCCCCCATTACTTTTAGAGAACAAATCCAAACCTCTGTTTGTCTTCATCTTCCACAAGGTAAAAATTGTCATTCGGTATGCTAAGTCCTTAATAGTGTTCTCTTGGCCTCTGTGACATTACTCTCTCCTGGTTCTGAACATTCCTGTAAGTGTACACTACTTTCCCAAAGGATTCATTCTTCCAAATTAATGCAGTTTTCTTATTTCTTGGCTAATGCTGTTTACTTCTATCTGGAATTATGTCTTTCATTTAGCCTCTTCTTTCCTCCATCCTTAATCTCTGCCTATTGAAATATTACATATTCCTCAAGGTCAAGCTCGAATATTATATCTTCCTTGAAATAATTTCTTATAATGCCATTTAGAAATTAATTCTTCAGCGTATTGATTGTGTGCGTTGAATCCTTTTTCATATTCTCTATGCAAGGGCACATTTTTATCTTGTGTTATAATTATCAATTAAGATCATGGCTGTCTTATTTATCATTCTGGCCTTAAATTTCATGATGGTAAAAATAGTCTTCTGCATAAATAATTGTTCCACAGAATTTAACTCAGTACCTTATATGACATAAAGGCTAAACATAACTTCAACAGATGAGTGCTCACCTAGGGTTGACTTTGTTTTTTGGCACTGGGGCTTGAACTCAGGGGTGCTTAACCACTGAGCCACATGTCTAGCCCTTTTTTATTTTGAGACAGGGTCTAAGTTGCTTAGGGCCTTGTTAAGTTGTTGAGGCTGGCTTTGAATTCGTGATCTTCCTGCCTCAGCCTTCTGGAATTACAGATATGCCTGGTTAGCTTTTTCTTTATCTTTAATTAAATTCAACATTGTAATTCTTATCCATTTAATCCTTACCATGGCTGCTTTCTTAATTCCTATGCTGTTGCTTCTAACTTCCTTTTTAAGTTCCTAATTCTTACTGGATACAATAACACTCTACATTTCTTTTTATAGAGGCCCAAAATTTTTTCGTGACTTGAAAGTAGTTCTGCTGAGTTAAACAAACATTTTTAAAGGGATATATAGGATTAGCAGAAGTGAAAATAACAAGTCAACAAAATACAAAAAAAGAAATTATTCCCATTCTCCTTTCTGTGGCCTTTTCTACTCAAATATTCAAGTCCTATCATGAGCTCTTCCCCTCCCTCTTGTGAATGGCAGCTACCTTGATCTATTGCACCATTTATGCAGAGATTCATACAGACTTATGCATAGATCCATAAAACAATGAAAGAAGGATAAAGTCATAGATTGCTAGGACTGAAAGAAAACTGAATAGTCATCTCTAGTTCTCTCTACTTTTGTAATTTTTGATACTGAAACTCAGTAGATTAGGTCACTTTTACACAATCACAACTCAGGAGGTTCTCAGATGCTAGGTCCACTGAGTGTCAGGCCAATTTCTTTTTACTGCAAAGCATCACATAAGCAAAAAAAATATGGTATTTCTAGTAAAGGGCACTGCACAAACTGAAATAATAAGAGTTGAAAAGCGCAAAATTCCAGTATGAGGGAAGTTATCTGTATGAGCTATATTATCACATATTATCTGTCATGAAATGAAAGTATATATGAGACAAGCCTTAAAAGTCCTTCAGAGCAAGATTTACATTTCTTTAAGCTTTTACATTTCTTTAAGCTTTAGCTAAAAAATACCACTATGTTTAAGATTAGTAGAAAATTTTTTTCTTAGATTTTATTATAGAAGGGGTCAATAGTAATTAAAAGGATAAAATTATGAAACTGAAATTCATCTATGATAAGGAAAGGAAAACTATTTTATCCCAGAATCAAATAGTAATGATACAATGACAGAGCCAGTAGCAATAAGAAATGGGAAGAGTAGAAGAAAAAAAATAGGGAAATAGAATGAGAATTTCTGTGTGTGTATAAGTGTGTATAATCAATGATTAAAAAAAAAAACCCAAAACTAATGGGGAAAACTGGAATCAAAGAGTAGGAGGGGAAACATAGACACTTTAAGAGGGAAAAATGAGCCAGGCACTGTGGTGCATGCCTGTAGTTCCAGCGACTTGGGAGGCTGAGGCAGGAGGATTGCAAGTTCAAAGCCAGCGCCAGCAACTTAGTGGGACCCTAGTGAGATCCTGTCACAAAATAAGAAATAAACTGGGTGTGGTGGTGCACACCTGCAATTCCAGTGGCTCTGGAGGCTGAGGCAGGAGGACTGCAAGTTCAAAGCCAGCTTCAGTAAAAGCAAGGTGCTAAGCAACTCAGTGAGACTCTGTCTCTAAATAAAATACAAAATAGGGCTGGGGATGTGGCTCAGTGGTTGAGTGTCGCTGAGTTCAATCCCCAGTATCCAAAAATAAAGAATAAAAATAATAAAAAATAAAAAGGACTGGGAATATGACTCTGTAGTTAAGAACCCCTGGTTTCAATCACTGGTTACTGCCTCCCCCCAAAAAAAAAATAGTTGGAGGGGATGGCACAAAAATTCACTATTATTTCCAGCATGAAGATGTTAAAAGCAGAGACAATTAGAATGTGAAATATTTAGAAAAATAAAATCAGACAAAGGATAAGACAAGAGAAATAAAAGGTGGGGAAGGAATAGAGGAAAGTAGGAGATGATAACCCTTATCTGCAATGAGCAAAGCAGGGTAAGCACAAGGCATCAGATCAATTTAGGTATTCTTACCAAATAACCAAGACTGTAGCTAAAATCTTCAGCACCAATCTGTAGGTCCCCAGAAGTCCTAACTGACCTCCACACTTAGCCACAATGAAGTCATGAAATATTTTTAAGCAACTTGCTGAGTTCTCTCTCTTTTCCTTCTTTCTGTTTCCGATAGTAAAGTCAGCCTCATGATCTAGACCACTGTCTTGAGTTCAACAGGAAGAGTTTCTAAGTGAGTCATTTTAAAGTGGCTCAGATAAGAAAAGAAGAACAAAGTGAGAGAGTTCTAGTGAAATTTTTTTTTTTTTTTTGCAGGACACAGAGTACAATTAGGGAAAGAGAACTTTTTTTTTTTTTAAAAGAGAGAGAATTTTAATATTTATTTTTTAGTTTCGGTGGACATAACATCTTTGTTTGTATGTGGTGCTGAGGATCGAATCCGGGCCGCATGCAAGCCAGGCGAGCGCGCTTACCACTTGAGCCACATCCCCAGCCCAAAAGAGAATTTTTGTACATAAACTTCCCATTTTTCTGACTTTTGCTTTTGTTTTGCTTTGTGAATGCAAAAAACTGACCCTATTGAGATGGGAGGATTAGAATGAGGGTGGTTATAGAGAAATAACCAGCATAAATGCTTTTAATTCATCTCAGATAACATCTCTTTGAGGTTTAGTATGTGTTAAAAAAAAAAAAAAAACATGCCAGGGATAGGGCGGTGGCTCAGTGTGAGAACGCTTGCCTAGCATGTGTGGGGCACTGGGTTCAATTCTCAGAACCATAAACAAACAAACAAACAAATAAATAAATAAAGGTCCTTTGATAAATAAATAAATATGCCATGCCAAAATCATGATAAATTAAACATTCTAGTTCATAGAAATTTACAATCAAGAGGGAATATGTATTCACATATGTACACACAGACTGTAGTATAACTCATACTTTGTGTAGTAATAGAAATAAAAATAGTACTAAAGTAATAGAACATAATAGGCAGGGGACAATATGGGAAAGTCTTAAGGCAGATATAAGATGTGAGCAAGTCCTTAAATAACTATAGAACTTCTAGAGGCAGAATAAGGTGAAAAAGTGAAAGCATATGTGAATCATAGCCAAAGGCAGGTAGGTGGGAGAGTGCAGCCAATGGTGGAATATGGTGAAAGTTGAGGTTATGATTCATCAGGAAGGAGTGCAAAAGACTGAAGATGACTCCTGTTTAAAGTACACACAGTAAGGAATTCTTCCTCCCTCACATCATTCTTTCACATATTTGTGAACACTGTTGTCTGATGAATTCTTCATTCCAAATTGATAAACGTATCTGACAATGACATCAGCTCCTCCTCTTGTTTTCAGTCAAATCATCCACGTTGGTTTATTTTTGAAGCAGAAAGACCTAACAAAAATGCTAAGAACTGAATAGTGTTTAAGTTATTTCTATTGTTATTATAATCTAATTAAAAATAGTACATACATATAAAATGATAAATTGAAATAATGCAGAAATAGAAAAGATTAAAAAATGGAAGCTTTCATTTTTCAGTATGACCAGAAGTTATGTAACCCAAAGCTCAGTTCTCCTTCTCATTGTCAATCTAATAACAAAGCAAGGTCTTGAGAAAAAAAGGAAAAAAAGATTTGTTGCTTTGCTAGCAAAGGAAAAACACAAGGGACTCCTGTCCCAAAGGTTTTAATTCTGCCCATCAGCAGGAACAGGGGGTTGTATAGAGGTGATTCAGAGAAAAAACGAAATTAGGGAGGAGAGATCAATCGGGAAGGAGAAGTTTAGGGAAAAGAAGATCAGGAAGGAGAAACTTAAGGAAAAGAAGATTGGGGAAAAAGAAAAAAAATGTAAATTTTAAAACCACAAGGGATATAGTCAAAGTATCAAGTGAACCCCTGTTACAGTAGCAATTTTAAATAGACTAATGTTCATTCTTTCTGATTTTTTCTAAATATAGCACATATTTTTTTAAAAAAGTATAGTTTGTAAAAAAATGGGACTACAATTTATATGTGATTATATGACTTGGATTTTCATTTAATAATATATCAGGACAAATTTCTATGATTTAATTATTTTTTGTTTTCTTTCCCTCTAACATTTGGAAATATTAAGTGACAAATTTATTCAGAGCACACACAAAAGAGTGACATGATTAGTGTGTGTGCTCATGTGTGTATTCTATTTATTTATTTATGGTACTGGGGTACTCAACCACTAAGCTACACCAAGAGCCCTTTTTATTTTGTGACAGTCTCACTATGCTGCCCAGGCTGTCCTTGAACTTTTGATCTTCTTGCCTTAACCTCCCCAGTAGCTGGGATTGATTATAGGTGTGCACCACCATGCTCAGTGATGAGCATATCTTTTAAACTTTCAGAAGATAAAGTTTTTACCACCATGTCGAAGATCATAAACATGTACTTTGGTCCCACTATGAACACAATTTTCTGCTCTGTAGGGGATGCAGAAGCTTTGAGAAATCTATGTAATGATATACAGTGGGAACTGCTAGGAGGGTACAATATACTTAGGGAACATGGAATTCTTACTGAAGCAAACAAGAAGGTGATTCATTGAAGAAGCAGCACTTGAGCTGGGCTTTAAGAAAGAATACAATCTGATAGAAAAATAGTAGTGCTTAAATAATAATTTATCTGTTTCTCTGTTCTACTAGACCATGAGTTTGGATCTCCAGTGCCCAGTATAAAATGATTAGGCACCAATGCATGAATAAATGTTTGAAAATGATGTTGACATCTGAATATTATTCAGAGAGTTCATTAAAGTCCTTAAAGTTTTTTTTTCTGATGTGGATTCAGTTTTATTGATTTCATTTCTTTAAAGATTATATAGCACTTTAAACCACTTTGAGAAACTCCCAGCTGTGATTCCTGGATTTTCAGTTCAGGAAGGAAAATATTTTTTTCCTTTTCTTTTGTTTTTGGAGATAGGGTCCCACTATATTATAGCCCAGATTTGTGTTGAACTCCACATCCTCCTGCCTCAGTCTTCTGAGTAGCTGGGATTGTAGGCCCAGGTCACTGTCTCTGCCTGGGAGATTTTATTCATTTGTTGTTTATTTATTTATTTTTTAGGTGCAGGGCTGCAACCCAGGACTGTATATACACTCAGCAAGCAAGCACTCTACCATTGAGCTATATCATCCCATCATGGGAAGGAAATTATTGAAAGCATCTTGTGAATAGTGTTTCTGTTTTTGGATGTATTAAGTAAGTATAAATATTTTGTATATTGACATGAAAAACTCTAGGGGAATTTATATGTTTCACTTCTGTTTTTTTAAAATATCTAAATATAAATTTCTAAGCAGAGATTAGATGCCTTGGGTAAAAATTAAATCTTTTTCTTTTTTCTTTTTGGTATCAGGGATTGAACCCAGTGTGCTTAGCCACTGAGCCACATCTTTAGGACTATTTATTTATTTATTTAGAGACAGGGTCTCATTCAGTTGCTGAGACTGGCTTTGAACTTTCTATCCTCCTGCCTTAACCTTGCTGATTACTGGGATTACGGTGGTGACTGGCTAAAAATGAAATCTTGAATATATATTAAAAGATAGCTATGAATCATTAATTAATTCTATATTGTCATTGATGGAGATCTACATTAAAGTTCATTTGGACAAAATAAAAATTTTAGAATCATAGAATTTCTAGCCTGTTTTGTCTGAGAGATTTAATAATAAACATATGAGAAAGTTACTGTCTTTAAGGACCTTCGGGGAAATGATTAGATCCATTATTAGATCATGTGAAAAAAATCTATGTTCTAAATAAATGTAACCAAACACAAAAACTGTGGATGACACAGATAAATTCTATTACTGGTCAGTAAAGGGAAATAAAGTTGGTGGTTAAAATTAACTGGAGGCAGGGTGCAGTGGAGCACGCCTATAATCCCAGCTGCTCAGGAGGCTGAGGCAGGAGGATCAAAAGTTCAAAGCCAGCCTCAACAATTTAGTGAGGCCCTAAGCACCTCAGTGAGACCCTGTCTTTACATAAAATACAAAAAAGGGCTGGGGATGTAGCTCAGTAATTAAGCACTCCGGGTTTAATCCTCAGTAACCCCCCAAAAGAGAAAATTTATAATTAAAAAATTTGAAACAAAAGCAAGAAGAGAGAAAGGAAAATCAGTTGCCTTCTGATTCCAGTATCAGCAGACAACTCTGGGGGGGCGGGGGGGCTCCTGCAATGGAGATGCAGGTTTGGCATGGCTGCTGGCAGCTGTGGGTTCCAGCACGATTACTGGTTCTTAGAGCAGCAGTAGAAGAGGCAATAGGACTACAGGTTCCTAGACTCTTGTTAAGCTGCAGCAAGAGCCTCTAACCACATTTGCCCATTCTAGTTTATATTCTTTTTTAAAAAAAATATTTATTTATTCTAATTTATTATATATGATTGCAGAATGCAATTCATTTCATATTACACATATAGAACACAATTTTTTAAGTCACTGATTGTACACAAAGTGTTTTCACACCATTTGTGTCTTCATATATGTACTTAGGGTAATGATATCTAAATCATTTAACCATCATTCCTACCCTCTTGCCCCCTCCCTCCCCCTCCTTCCTATTTTTATTTTCCAATTCTAGGGAAGCAAACTTCTGCAGTTTTTTTGTTTGTTTGTTTTGGTACTGGAGATTGAACTCAGGGGCACTCAACCACTGAGCCACATCCCCAGCCCTATTTTGTATTTTATTTAGAGACAGGGTCTCACTGAGTTGCCTAGAGCCTCACTAAATTGCTGAGGCTGGTTTTGAACTCGAGATCTTCCTGTCTCAGCCTTCCAAGCTGGTGAGATTATAGGTTGTGCTGCCATGCTCGTCTGCAATTTTTAATGTAGTAGTATATTATAGTAGGTGACTCTCATAAATGTAGGTCAAGATAAATTTTTGAGTCAATTACAGACAGGATCTGGTTAAATTGCTTAGAACCTTTCTAAATTGCTGAGGCTAGCCTCAAACTCACAATCATGCCTCAGGCTCCCGAGTAGCTGAGATTATAGGTGTGCACCACTGAACGCAATTTTAAAATCTTTTTGATTCATTAATATTGACTTTCTAACAACAGCACTATAACTTATGCCTGGAAAAGGTTTATGTCACACACCTACTTTCTCTGTAAGGTACATCAAAGTCTTAGGAACTTGAGGCAATACTTTGGTCCGATGC